AAAGGTTAGGAAAAATCAGATGCCTATGAAGCCTCCCTTAAAAACCCTGGGTGGGTTTGTTTTCTGCTGTATTGTTAAAGTTTTCTGGTTTGTGTTCTTTAAGCAATAAATGAATTTCTCATTTTAAATGGATTGCTGTCACTTTATGAAACTGCTCCCATGAGGAGTGCACTCCTATCCAAAAGGAAACTGGAGAGACAGGCAATAAACTCTACCATTAGGAAATGACAGAAGATGGTGTCCGTACTGGGGCATCCTTCTAAAGAGCCCTTGGGATAACTCCTAATGAACCAAGCAAATCATCTCCTATCAACCATCTAACACTGGAATTTCGAGAAGGAGTATAGAGAAGTGATAAGAATGGCAGCTCCCGTATTCGCATCAAAGTACGTTGTAGTGGAAAGAACACAAGGTTGGAGTCCTGGCTCTGCCATTCACCTTGGGCAAGTCCCTCCACCCCTTAGAGCCTCTGTTATTTTCTCATCTGGAAATCAAGGGTGATAATGCTTATGACCAAGAGGCATCTGGGGGTTTTCTGGAGGTCGTTCAGCTAGACCCAGGTCTGGTCCCAATTGATGGAGTCAGTGCTGCTCTAGGAAATGTACTCCCAAGTTTTCTGTGCCACTTTTAGTGCTCCCGTTCCAAGTTGAAGTTAATAAGCCAGGGGCAGTGAAGAGCAGGTCAGTGTGTATGGGCAGGGCCCGCGGAGGAGGATGGAAGACAGAAGGAATGCTGGGGGCAAATGCAGGGAAGAAGTGGGACTAAGGGGGCTAGACATGTTAAGGGCAAATGAAATGAAGTTAAGATTAGGAGAGAAGTTAGAGGACAGCTTAAAAACCAAGATGATATAAAAACGTTTTTTTTTCAGGGGCGCCTGGGTGGCTCAGTCGGTTGTGCGTCTGACTCTTGGTTTCCGCTCAGGTCATGGTCTCAGGGTCATGGGATTGAGCCCCACGTCAGGCTCCATGCTGAGCGTGGAGCCTACTTGGGATTCTCTCTCTGCCCCTTTCCCTGTGCTCTCGCAGTCTCTCTCTCTCACTGTCGATTTTTTTTTTTTTTTTCAGAAACCCAGGCTTTAAAAGATGAGAAGGAGAGTGGGGGAAAGGAATTGAGTGTCAGAGGCAGAAGGTGTGGGGGAAGAAGCAAGGTTTGCAAAGAAGACAGGCCTTCCCAGATGAAGGAAGGCAGGGGACTGGAGCAGAAACAGATAGCCCCCTGGGGACATGGCTGGAGAGACTGAGGCTAGCGAGGTGGCACCTAGAGGTGAGAGAGGTAGAAGCGCCCTAGTTCAGCATCTTGTCCGATACTACAGCCCAAGAGCAGCCAGGACTGTGCTGCCGAGAGGCAGGATGGAAGGGAAGACAGCAGCCAAGGGGCACGGGCAAATCCACGCTTCGGCAGTGACCTTCCATTCCCTTTGCTGCCGCATCTCACTGTAACCCAGGGTAACTGCTTCACCACTGCCCTCCAGTCCCCCAAGGCTTACTGCCGCCCTGACTCCCCACCTTACCCCCCTCCCCGCCCCCACACACGTGATACCTCATGAGGTGTTCTTTTTCTACAGTCCCGTGATTCTGAATTTTGCATGGTACAGACCTGCGCTGGCCAATATGGTATCCACCAGCCACATGCAGGCTTCGAGGCCTTGGCGTTTGGCTAGCTCGAACTGAGACATGCAGTGAGTGTAAAATACACTCTGGGTTTCTGCAGGGGGGCTGCTCCGGGCTGGGGCCCTGCCGTCCTTGCACTATTAACACAGGCCACGTAGGCGAGGCTCCACTGCAGGCTGCCCCTGGCCTTGGCAGAATGCCCCGTGATCCTCCCGCAACACGGGAAGATAGGCCGTCTCATGAGAAGTCGCTGCAAGACCATTTCTCACTCACCTCCCTATCTCGAGGGAAGCTTCTGGGAGGCTGTTTCTCATCGGCCTCCCTCATTCGGGTGAGGCACAGAGCTTTTGGCCTGCCACACCACCCGCAAAGGGTGCAGGGTAAAGGCCATAAAACTGCTTAGCGGCAGTGTGGAATTGGCCACTCAGCAATAGGATGTCCCACCATTCATGTTGCGTGTCCTTGGGCCCCTTCTGTTGCGGCGTCATCCCGTGGGACGAGGAATGCAGGGAGGTGATACCATTGCTGATCTTGCTTTTGCTGTCTATATGAGTAATAAATTGTCGGGATATATGTGGGTTTCTTACTTTGTTTTGTTTTGGTTTTTTTCCAGCTGAATCTGTCAGCCTGCTTGGCAATTTCTAAGACTTAGTAAAAAAAAAAAAAAAAAAAAAAAAAGGATTACAGAGTATCTTAATAATTGTTTTATACCAATAACACGTGGAAATGATGTTTTGGATATACTGGGTTAAATGTTAAAATGAATTTCACCTGTTTATTTTTTTTTTCAATTTGGCTGCTAGAAAATTTGTGTACATGGCTCGCATTATATTTCTCTTGGGCAGTGCTTTTATAGATTGGTGAGAAAAAAAACTGGTGGTGGGGAAGAGGGACTCACAGGGTTTTATTTTGCCAGAAAATGGCATTTTAAAAAAACTATGTTCATAGTTTTATTCCCATAGTTACAGGGACATTTTAACACTCCAAATATATGTAAATACCCATAATGAAGGACAGACCTTTAAATTGAATAAATGTAACTCTATGGAAACTCACTGCATTGTCCTGATTTTTCTCATATTGCTTCAGGCTGGTGAAAAATCCCTCAGATTGTTGAGGATGGTATTTAAGTACTGTTGGTGTAGAGAGCTCCACCTAGGAGGGGATAACTGGCTAATTTGTGTGGGACCTTGAGAGGCAACCAATCCAGGTAACAATAGTGGATGGGGCTAGTGCAGGCGGGTTTCTTTTTTCTTTTCTTTTATCTTCTTTCCTTCCTTCCTTCCTTCCTTCCTTCCTTCCTTCCTTCCTTCCTTCCTTCCTTCCTTCCTTCCTTCCTTCCTTCTCTCTCTCTCTCTCTCTTGTCCAGCAGGTGTTGAACTCATCTGGTAGCCTATGTTTTTTAGTATTCCTGTGGCTTCTTGGCCCACGCTCTCTTCCCACACCCAAATAAGGGAAGGGTGTGGAATATCAAAGTATAACTGGAAGAACCAAAGTAAACAAGTACAAATTTATTATTTTCAAAGCAGAATTCCAGGGAAAGGGGAAAAGCACCACGGTGAGTGGCAATCAAAGTTAACCAGTTTGTTCCCAGCCCTGCCCCTTTGTCCCAAACTTTTCTAGACTTGTGTGCCACCCTTGCCACCTCCCTGTCCCCTAGATCCCTTCCCCAGCTTCCATTGCTTCCATTCCCGAGACCAGTTCTTGCAGCCAGCGAGCAGCAGAGCAGGCTCCACTCTGGCCTCAATACTGCCCTGGGGACAGCAAGGACATTCAGCAGGTCTCCCCCAAATGCAGCAGCTGTGGGAGGAGATGGAGGCAGGGAGCTGAGCCCTGGCCTTGAGCCTTTCCCTCTCCCGCAGCCGCAGCCGGTGGTGGTAAAAGAGTAAGGAGCTGAAGTATTCCTTTGTTCCCAGGGCAAGATTTCGGCAGGGAGGCCTAGAGATAGAGCTGCCCAGCTGAGCAGCTAAGCTGCCACGACCCTAGGGCAGGGCCCCCAGGCTCTCTCCCGGGACTGTTTATCTTAAGGCAGCTTACTTTTCTGGACTAGCTGTCACCCATGTCAAGGGAACTTTAGTGAGATTCTTGGCCTGAAACCGTGTCAGAGGCCATGAGCCGGCCACTGAGAATGCGTGCTTAAGGAATGTTCTGGCATGAAGCTGGACATGGATGGAGCCCAGATCCCAAACACACACCTCAGGCAGCATGGGTATTCCTTAAAATTAACCTGGAGGGGAAAACCTCTCCCAGCACAGGCCTCTGCCTGACCTCCGGGTTTCTCATTACTGTGGCCTGCCAGCCCAGTTCCTGGAGCCCAAGAAACTCAACAGCTTTCTCTACAGGGACATATTTCCAAAGTTTGGGCCTTGAAGGAAATGGGCGCTTGAGAGCCTTGATCTCAGCCTTGCCATCCTGGAGGGAAGGGCACGTGTCCTCCCGGGGAAGGGCCCCCCTCAGGGAACCGCACAGCAGACAGCTTGGTGTTCTGCAGCCAGTCAGCCTTTTCTGACAAGTTCCCAGTCAACATGACTCCACTCTGCCCTCATTCGGAGCAGAGGCCCCCTCGTAACGGCTTTCTTGGCCTCTGTCAGATTCCATCGAGAATCAGGCGCCTCTCGATTCTACCTATTCCCTGATACTATTTGACAACCACCCCGGCAAACACTCACATTCCTTCGCATGGATGCTGATCTCACAAATCAGAGGTTTTCTTTAGGCTGCCTCCCCGGAAACCCCCTTTACCACTCCTCCAGCACAGGGCCATAAATTAATGCAGCATCCCAAAAGATACCTCTAGGAGACACGATACAGGACAGATGCCTCACAACCTGCCACACATCTCAGTAAATCTCACCCTGATTTGGATTCACGGTGCCCAAGGATCCATTTACCTCACTGTGGGCAGACGGCCCACACATGTTGCAGCGACTGTCACTGGACCCTTGAGTGACATACCTCGGGCACACACACAGGTACACACGGGACCACACACAGAGTGTCAGCGGCTCCACTAGTGAGAATTCAACTCTTACCCTGCTGCTTCGGTCCACCCACAGCACAAATCCTACATAGCAAGATCTACGTCTTCCCTACCATGCCTAGCCCACTGCGGCTGCCACAGGACCTCAGCAGCCCAAGAACTCTTGGGTGAGGTGCGGGGGGGGGCGTATAGAAAGGGTTTTCTAGGACTTCCCTGGTAAAAGATTGTTTCATAACATCTGCCCTCCTAAGGCTTGGGCAGGATATGCTTCAAAGACCCTGAGCTCCCTGACCTTTAGCACATTTCTTCTATCCCATTCCTGCCCACAAAATAGGCCCCTACAAATATGGCCTCCCTCCGCCACACCCACACCCACCCCCAACCCCCCACCCCCGCCATGGACAGATGCCCATGGTCTGTGTCTGATGCCTGCCTACTACCTGTTCACCATACATCCAGATACCCAGTCCTCCCATCCAGACACCTCATGAACACTGAGGCACATGTCATGGTTAGGTCTGATACCCCAGACCTGTGGCCTAGTGCTCCCTGGCCATTCGAGAAGGAAGCAATCCTAGGCTTCTGGACCCAAGCTACTGCCCTCCCTCCCCTGCAGCAGAGAAATCTAACTTCCCAGCAGTTCTACCCACGGACGGATGCACTACTTGATTATAACAGAGCACCCCACCTATCTCACACCCTCCTGACCTTGGTGGCAGCCACTGCTTTCTTTAAGACCCTGAGGCAGACTTAGGACCTGGAAGGGGCTGGAGGGTGTTCTCTGTGTCTTAGCCTGGCAAAGGCCAACAAAAGCCCATCTGTTCCTTCTTGTCTGCATGGGATGAGTAGAGCTTGCCTTTGTTCTGTTTTGGCACCTGAACCGTTGTTTAGGGGAAGCCCAGGAAAAGTTCATCCAAGGCTCAGGTCTCAAGGGAACAAGATTTGGAACGAGTGAAGAGAACAGAGTGACTCTTCCCGTTAGATCCCACTGTGGCCACAGGCTTCTCTTGCTTTGGTCTGGAGGACAGCTCACCCCAAACATGAATGGAGAGACATCCTAGGGGAGCGGCCAGGTTGCATGTCTCTGTCCAGCCAGAGGCTGGGGCTAACAAAGAGCAAGGCAGAACATTAATACTTTAAGAGGTATTAGAATTTAATGTGTGAGTGAGGCCAGGGGAGTACCGCTGTACAGTACCTCTCTGCAGGACAGATATGTATGTATATAAACTTAGGCAAATTAAATCAGCTGCAGGGCTCTGGGTTATAAAGCTTCTTTTGCAGAAAGCTGCCTAAGTGGGCTCTGACTCTGTTCAAATTCCCCAAGCCCACTCCCCCGCGCCCCACCCCCACCCCCTGCTATCTACTCTGAACGGTTTCTGGATAAAGGGATTATGGTCTAGGCAGCCTAGCAAGAGTTAGTTTACTTTGAGGATCGGGTTCACCTTCCAGAGTTGGAAAGAACAGTTTTATGCAAAGGAAGGCCTTGCTGTTGTCTGGGTGGGAAGTGGCCAGCTTCCTGATTTGTGGCCAGCTGTTCCTGGGAAGGGACCACTATTTAGGGCTGCCGCTTGCATCTGCCTTGTGATTAGCTGGGGACAATCAGCCGCCTCATCTGATTCCGCCTGAAAGAAACAAGGGCCACAGCCTGCAAGAGTGTTGGGCAGTCACACTCCTCCAGGCTAGTGAGTGGCTTCCCCTTCCTCACCCAAGGAGAGCAAGACCCCCTTGCTGAGCAAGCAGCTGCCCCTGCCCCAGGGCTGTGAGGGCAGACCCGGAAGAGCGAAGGGTGGCTTCGGCTGGATTTCCGGTGTCTCAGGAGGCTGAGGCCTTCAGGAAGGAGGAGGGTCGGGGTGGGGGGTGGGGTGGGAACTAAGCCCATAAGTATCTCTTTAATGTTTCCAAATGTATGGTGTAAGAATCAGAATGAACTTAAGCAGGGGCGGCCAAGGCCTGAGGCAGAAGGAACTGAAGATATTCAAAGGGGAAACAACATCTAGGGAGCATCAGGATGGCTAGAGACGCCGTCAAACTAAAGTAATAGGACACATGCTGCCCAGACATTTTCAGGGGCACTTTTTTGGGGGGGGGGTTGTGTCTTGGGGATACCCTTCTGCCTCCCTGAGTTGGGCCAGAGAGTAGGGCTAACCCCTGTGGGTTCCTAATGCTGGAACCATGGGGTCATGCGGCTTCCTTATCTCCATAATGCCATGGAGAAGGGAAAGGGGCCAATGGGCACTGCTTAGTTCTGCAAGGCAGCTTCTCTGCTCCCCATCTGCCTGCACCGCGACAGAAACATACGTAAGGGACTGGTCTCAAACTTGAGGATTAAAGGGCACGTTTCTAGAGTTGGGGGAATCATGCCTCTCCTTCTCCCAGCCCTGAAGCATCCACTTCACACATGGGCAGATCCCTGCTGCTGCCCCGAGCCCAGATAACTCTGGCTGAGGAATGTGGGCCCGGGAGGGACCAGAAAGGTTGGGTGAAGGCGTGAAGGAAGACTTGGACCAGAACCGGGAGAGGACTGTGGATTATAGGATGGGGATCTGGCTCCATCAAGAGGCCAACAGGGGGTTGGCAGTCCCATCAGAGCTTTGCACACCGGGGAAGGCGTGTCGGAGCTTCTCCATAATGTCCTCCAAGCACAGGCTGACATCGTGGCTCTTGGACCCCACATCATCTAAGTTGGAAAAGAGAGATTTGGGGAGAGAACTAGGGATTCCCTGCTGAGGCCAAGGGGCTGAGGCGGGAGGCTGCCCGCTGAAGGACGAAACCCCACAGCGTTTGTGTCTTCCCAGCACAACGCCTAGAACATAGGAGGTGCTCAATATACACGTGTAGAATAAGCAAGCAAACGCTTCAGTCGATAAGCCAGTCATCCCTGACACTAAGCTCAAAGCCACGAGGGGAAACCCATGGTCCAGCCCTAGCAGGACCTTGGGCAGATCTGGGGCAGGATGAAGCCATGGAGGAAGGGGCTGGGAGGGGCCAGGGGGAACTTACCTGCAGCTTCAGTATCTGGAGTGGTCTGTCCCTTCTCCTGGGGGTGACTGCCTTCTGACTGCTGCGGAGAGGAAGCTAGGGACGAGCCTGCAGAACCATTGCCATTTGATTCGGTGGGTGGCTGGCAAGAGGTAAGGCATGACTTAGGTGGCTTTGCTTTTCTGACCTCACTTTAACAGACTCCTGAGCTTAGAAGGGGTTTTAGAGACCTTGTGCCCATCCCTTTGCCCTGGGACTTTAAGAAGTTTTCAGTAGTGCCCCAAACAGTGGCTTCCCCTTTGAAGAAACTTCTTAGAATATTCAGTTACCAGTTACCCTTCTTCCTTCAACATGTGTCAAAGGCTCCCAGTTGCACCTAAAGGTCTCTTGCTGTCCATCTCAGCTATAATTAAGCTATTTAGAAACCGGATCTCCCTGAAAATACAGAGTTGCACACCTGATCCTCAGTTCATGATATATGTTAAGACCTTTAGGAATTCATCTAGAGGCTATCCCTCAGAGGATCTGGGGAAGAGGCATGGGGTGGTATTACTGGTACATATAGTGATTATACAGTTGACCCTTGAAAAATGTGGGGGTTAGGGGCACTGACCCCCCCCGTGCAGTCAAAAATCCACATATAATTTTGACTCCCCCAAAACTTAACTGCTAATAGCCTACCATCGACCAGAAGCCTTACTGGTAACATAAACACTAAACAAACATATAGTTTGTATGCATTATATACTACATTTTTACAATAAAGTCAGCAAAAGAAAAGAAAATATTATTAAGAAAATCATAAGGGGCGCCTGGGTGGCTCAGTCAGTTGAGCGTCTGACTCTTGGTTTTGGCTCAGGTCATGATCTCAAGGTTGTGAGATCAAGCCCCGAGTTGGGCTCTGCGCTTAAGGGTCTCTCTCTCTCCCTCTCCTTCTGCCCCTCTCCCTCACTTTCCCTCTAAAAAAAAAAAAAAAGAAAAAGAAAATCATAAGGAAGGGAAAATACATTTACAGTACTGTACAGTAAAAAATCCGCATATAGGGGCACCTGGGTGGCTCAGTCAGTTAAGCATCTACCTTCAGCTCAGGTCATGATCCTGGGGTCCTGCGATCCAGCCCCACATCCCCACATAGGGCTCCCTGCTCAGCAGGGAGTCTGCTTCTCCCTCTGCCTCTGCCCCTTCCCCCCCCTCGTGCATGCTCACGCAATCTCTTTCTCAAATAAATAAACAAAATCTTTTAAAAATCCACATATAAGTGGACCCACATGGTCCAAACCTGTGTTGTTCAAGGGTCAACTGTAATAGGTAACGTTTACAAAGTATTCCCTACATTCCTGGCATCGTGCTAAATTCTTTAAATACATTATCGCATCTTAGGTTCACAATTCCACGAAGTTGGGATGTTATTATCCCTGTTTTACAGATGAGGGAACTGGGGGTAAGTGAGGCCAAGTAACTTGCCTAACACCTGACAGTCAAGAATTGGCACAGTCACATTGGAACCCAGGGCTGTCCGACTCCAGAGCTACACCATGCCATATATACGACCCCTCAAGGAGGAAAGGGACAAACAGGAACGAAGAGCTCCCTTCCCGGCAAACATGGTTGTCTCCCCCAGCATGTCCAAACCTTCTTCTTTCCAGCAAACATCACGGTAGCGAAATCAATGTTTTGGATGATTCTTTGAGCTTCGTCCTCTCGATACCAGATTCAGATGGGTCGTGGGGAAGTGAGCACTCAGACTTGGCCAAGAGCACACCGGCCCCTTCCCGAGTCCCCTTCCCTAATCGTCGTCAGCCCAGTTCTCTTCAGAAAGTCATCCAACAACAGCCACCGCCAAGGAGCGCTTTCGTTCCTGCCCTTTGCTGCACTCCCCAGCTCCCCACGTCCAGGAGGTGGGGGGGGCAGTCAGCAGCTCTGGTCCTCCCCCCGACTCCAGCCTCACCTGCAGGAGCAGCTCCCTTAAGCGCTGCAGCTGAGACTCCAGTTGCTTGTTGTGGTCCTCGAGGATCTGCATGCGTGTCTCCAGGCGGCTCTTGTGCTGCCGAAGGATCCGGGCCTCGGCCAGGAGCTCCTCGTTGCGATGGTCCTGTGCTACCTCGGCAGAGCCCTCAGCCAGGGTGGGGGTCTCGGCAGCCTCCTCATGCTGCCACTTCAAGCGCTTCAGCTCTCCCTGGAGAATCCTGCCAAGGAGACAGGAGCCAAGACCTATGGCCCTAACAAAGTACTGACTGTCTGGGTCCCAGATGTCCCCTCCTACCTAGTGGTGTGCGGTCCCTTTGCTCTCCCAGCCCCACCCCCACCCCAGCCATGTTCGGGCTCGAATGGCCATATCCATTCTTCTCCAGCACACATGTCATTTACTCTGCCATCCTCGGGCCTCAGCAGAGAGAGCTGACATTTCATCTAACAAAGGTCTCAGGGCTTTGATGTGCTGCTTCAGGGATTAATTCTGACCTTAGAATCAGGCAGAAACATAGTCTGCAAATAAATGAGGCATTAGGGCCACAGGTTCACCTACTCCATGTTTAGATTTTTAGATTCCAGCGGAAGACAAACAAAAGATCACCCATCTTGCCTCTTCTCTCCACCTACCCTCCTCTTTGGCCCCCTTTGAACACCCCTGTGGAGTCATCAGGAAACAGAATCGCTCTCTCACCAGTGCTTCCCCCGGGCCTGCCCACTGCTGATCTAACGCAGTGCTTCTCAAACCATCCGTAGCAGAAAACCAGGGGAGGTGGGGGTTCAATCACTGTGGACCAATAAGTGGTCCAAATGCCTAGGGCCAGCACACAGCTCCCATCACACGTGACTTGCCACACAAGTTCAACAGCACGCAAATGGGTCTATGGCTGATTCCATGAAAAGTCCACTAATTATGTGCCTGGAACACATGGCCATGTCAAATTGCTCTAAAGGTTTCTAGAAGCTGACTTTCTATGTCTGTATTTATCTTGTCTTGAACCAGTTAGCGAACACTTGGCAGACCGGCCCTGTTCTAAGGACTTGCCACTCCAAGTAGCCTGGGGGCCAGCACATGGGCATCCCCTGGGAGCCGGTTAAAAATGCAGAACTCAGGCCCCACCCCAGACCTGTGGATCAAAATCTGCGTTTTACCCAGCTCCCCAAGTGACTTGTATGCACACTAAGGTCCGAGAAGCACTGGTCTGAGGAATCCTTTGGGTTTTATCGAATGCCCCCAAAGTGGCTTGGACCCTTTGACACAGGCCCCTACCAAAACCCGTACTTTATGGAGATTAATGTCATCCTCATAATCTTCACCTTCCCTCTTCCAGTCCTCACATACTCCATGCAATGTCACCCTTCTCTTGTTTTATTACTTTCAGTGAGTGATAAGTGCCTCTTTCCATTTCCAACACTGAAAGTTCCTCGAGGGCAGAGACATGCATTCTCTCTTCTGTATTCTCTGTGTTTGCACTCTCTCCGCTTGCATCTACTGGGTACTTGAAAATATTTGGGTTGGGTTAAAAGGATTCCAATTATGATTAGAATTGCTAGCATTTATTGAACCCTACGATAAGCCAGGTACTGGCTAATGTGTTTATATGCCTGATTTCACTGGAAATTCACAAGTGACCCTAGGAGGTAGATACTATTATCATCATCCTTATTTTATAGATGAGGAAATGGGGGATCACTGAGTAGAAGTCACATAGCTAGGATGTGGAAGTGTCAAGACTCGAAATTAAACTGTCTGACTCTCCCACCCGCACTGATCTGTGCCATCACCGCACCCACCGGTTCTCATCCTCTAAGTGGGCCAGGATCTTCTCTAGCTCCCCCTTGCTTTCTGTGGCCATGCTGCATGGAGCCTGCTGTCCAAAGGCTGGCTCCCGGTCTGTGATGGGGCTGGAGTGCCGCAGCAGGTACTGGTCCTCATCTCTGCGCGGGTGTGGGGAGACAAGAGGAGGTGGCCAGGCAGTGAACCAAGAAACATCTCAGGGCAGGAGTTCTCAGCTCCCAGCTCAGGCCCCAGGAGACATAGGCTGGAAGATTCACTTCTAAGTCACATAGAGAGGGGAAGCCTATATATTCAGGTTTAAGAGGGATAAAGGTGTTTAAAGGTGGCAGAGGTCGTGGTTGAGGGTAGAGGAGGGAGTGTTTTCGGGATGCTGGGGCTTCTGGGTTCTACCTAAAGCCCCCTGGGAAACAATGAGCAAATCACTTCCCGGTGTGTGCTGTTCCCTGACCTCGTCCTCCTTCGCTTCCTCACCTCCCCCCGCCCAGGGGGCTCACTGCCTGTCTAAGTTCCATCGGGGCCAGCCTCATCCATTGGCCAGTAGCTCCTAAGCCCCCTGAGCTTGTCAGGGACCTCCCTAGGGATAAGGGGCCCCTTCTCTGAGCTACAGCACCAAGGAATCCCTCTGGTCACACTTCAGTCAAGTCCCTGGTGTCTCCCCAGGGTGTGGCACTGGACGGGGCTTTGGCACCTTGAGCAGAGATAATGGCTCATTTCTGCAACTTTAGATGAGGGCATATTCTCCTTCCTTCAGAGTTAGGCATGGAAGGACGGGATCTTGCAAGAGGAAGGGACCTGGGCAGACAGCGGCTCAGTCAGTCGATAGAGGGCTTCTATTACTAAACACTGTGCCCAGAAAGCAGCCTTCCTTCCTTGGGGCCTCTGGGACCCTGGCCACCACACATCCCTCTCCCGGAGGATATCTCCTTCCCAAATGGTGGCAGAGGGATCTTAAGGAGAACTCTTTCTGGAAAATACGCAGCTGTGAAAACTTACATGCTGTCATCTGGGGACAGGCTGTCATTAAAGAAGGAACAATTCTGACTTTCCATCTCAGCAAGCCTGAGAAGAAAAAGCAGGAACAGAAGGGAAAGCAGGATGTGGGGGCTTGCTTTCATCTCAAGGACTCTAATCCCACAATAGGATCATTAGCTTTGGGGGGCTGCCCCAACCACCCTGGAGTGTTGGGCCTCGCTGGCTGCCACATACCCCACTATGCACACCCCTCTGGTCTAGACGCCATTCTCTTTGCCCTGACTGAAGACCCCCTCCCCCTTAGACTCTTTAAAATCTCCCTCCCCCGAACCTGGTGGTACCTGCTGGCAAAATGCTCAATGCGGGAGTGTGTGTCGGCGTGTGGCAACATCGGGGAAGAAGCCAGCCTAGAAGAAAGCAGCGGACTCAGAGGACCAAGGAATGGGCAGCTGAGCAGTCCGTTTCCTTATCACCACCCTCCCCCCCCCCCCCCCCCACTAAACTAGGCAGATGGCCAAGAGATGATGGGAACAGGATGCAGGGACTGGATTCTAATCTATTTCTCGGGCCAGCTCCCTAGTCAGGCCCAAGCTGACCCTCCCTGTTGCTAGTGGGGTTTGCCTCGGAATACTCCTCCGCCCCTACACAGTGCATCCCATCCCCAGCTCGGCAGGGCCCACAGCCCCTCTGCTCAGCCCCTGGTACTCACGTCTCACTGTAGTCAGCCTCCAGCACCGACTGCACAGGCAGATAACCTCGCTGAGGGTGTCTGCTGAAGTAATGCTTTGAGCGGAATTTGTTCTTTAAGGTCGTAGCAAAGTCCCTCATGTTCTCACTGGATGTGGTCTAGGGGGAGACAGGGCAGAGGGACTCATCTTAATGGCTTCGGGAGGCTGGGGAAGTGGGGATGCTCCCCTAGAGCAGGGAACATGACCAGTCATCTACTCTTGTTCATGCCCACCACTCTCCACTCCCAGAAAAAGGTCAAGAAGGATATGCTGCCAAACTGTGAACACTGGTTGCTTCTGGGAAGTTGGACTGGAGAGGTGGGGGCGAGGCTGAGGAGAGAGGGGGACTTTCGTTTTTGACTTTATACACCTCTAAGGAATTTGAATTTTTGCAGTAAGCATATATTTGTTAATTTCTAAAGGATCTTTATATAAATCCTAGGGGTGCAGAAGATGAGCAGGAGGTAGAGGATTATCAGTCTACCATCTCAAGCCAGTTTTCTCTGTATGTTTATTTTGAAATGATAATAGAAGAAAAATAAAGGCAAGCCCCCTGCTCCCACTGGGTGACACATCCAGTGAGAACATGAGGGACTTTTTTTTTTTTTTTTTTACCTCCAAGAGACTGATTAATTGATTTGAGCACAAACTTGACTAGCGGGAATGGAAGAAATGACAAAGTAGCCGGTGAAGACTAGGTTGCAGGAATGCTCAAAGCTATAGCCAGGAATCCCCCAAACTGGTGAAACTCTGCCCTTCATAGCTACCTGAGCCCGGGTTGGTCAGCATTCCTGAAATCCACTCACAGAATTTGTCCTCTGCTGTGTTCAGGACCCAAAACTCCAAGCTTAGCTCCCTGAGCGGACTCTACTCCCCAAGCTCTTTTATCCCTTTCTGCCCCACAGATACTCCCAAGTCCCAAGCATATTGCCAGCTCCCCCCAATGTTCTCTCCCACCCCACCTCCCCGCCTTCCAACGCGGTTCCCCATAATCCATCTCTCCAAATCGTCATCTCTTCTCCAATGAAAACCAAGTTAATTTGGGGACCCGGGTAAAGAGCATACTCTTTTTTTTTTTTTTTTTTTTTTTACCTCCAAGAGACTGAGTAATTGATTTGAGCACAAACTTTGGAATTGACTAGGAGGGATGGAAGAAATGACAAAGTAGCAGGTGAAGACCAGGTTGATGGGAGCAATGCAGGAAGCTAGGCAGGAAAAATTAAAGTGAGCAATGGAAGGAAGGCCAGTTGCCTGGAACTGTCTTGCTCTCTCTATTTTTTTTTTCCTGAGACTTTGCTCTGCAGGAAAATAGTAAATGCCTTTTAAATGGCCATGAGTGTCCTGGGCTGCTATAGCCAGGAATCCCCCAAACTGGTGAATCACCAGGACTGCTGGGAGAATGCTCCCCAAAGGAGAACAGAATATAGCTAGTCCATGCTCGGCCAAGCGGATCAAGGGCCTAGAAGCTGACTGCTGCCTCCCCGTCCTGCTCCGCCCAGAGGCTCCGTACCGGTGTGTAATACTCCATGATGGGGTAGTGAAGCTTGTTGCCTTTGCTGGCCCTGCCTGTCAGGAAGCAGGTCTGGCAGATGTCCACGTTAAATTGTTTCAGACTCCGGTACCTTGGGGAGAGGAGAGGTGGTAGGACAGAGAATCCAGCGGACCGTAGTGACCTCCCCATTTCCCTAACTTCCAGATATACACATACGTTAGAAGGGGGCGAGGCATGGAGTCATAATGGGCTCAACCTCCCATACGTAACAGTGGCTGCATCCTCACTAGATGACTAGCCTTATTCTTTTTTTTTCTTTCTTTCTTTTACATTTTTTAAAAGATTTTATTTATTTATTTGACACAGAGAGAGAGAGAGCACAAGCAGGGGGAGCGGCAGGCAAGGGAGAAGCCAGCTCCCCGCTGAGCAAGGAGCCCGTGCGGGGCCCGATCCCAGGACCCTGGGATCATGATCCGAGCCAAAGACAGACGTTTAACCGACTGAGCCACCCAGGCGCCCCGCAAATAGCTTTCTAAACGAAGATGTCTCCGAAGGGTCCCATCTCACAGGTAACACCATCTACGTTGGAGAAGTTACACTTCCAATACGAAGGCTCTTATTCTACCAGCCTTGGGCAAGTTGGCTAAGTTATTTCCAAAACTTGTTTATAATAATAACTCGGAGTGCCTGGGTGGCTCAGTCAGTTAAGCGTCCGACTCTTGATTTTGACTCAGGTCAGGATCTCGGGGTTGTGAGATTGAGCCCCGAGTCAGGCTCCGCTCTGGGCTCCGCTCAGGCGTCAGCCTGCTTAAAGATTCTCTCTCTCCCTCTCCCTCTCCCTCTGCCCCGCCCCCGCCACTGCTCATGTTCTCTCTCTCTAAAAAAAATAATAATAAATAAGTATAATAATAATTCTATTATTACTGAATATTGACTAGCCCTTCAGATCCAGGTCCAAAGCCTGGCTGAACTGCCCAGACCTAGTAGTACAGAAAGGTGAAATGCCTAGACTTACGGAAGTCAGAGGAGCCAACATCTAGTCCTGGATCTACACTCACCAACTGTGTGAACTTGGGCAAGTCACATGCCACCTGCGTGCCTCATTTGCTTATAAAAAGCAGGGCCTTTAGGGGCGCCTGGGTGGCTCAGTCGTTAAGCGCCTGCCTTTGGCTCAGGTCATGATCCCAGGGTCCTGGGATCGAGCCCCACATCGGGCTCCCTGCTCCACGGGAAGCCTGCTTCTCCCTCTCCCACTCCCCCTGCTTGTGTTCCCTCTCTCACTGTGTCTCTCTCTGTCAAATAAATAAATAAAATCTTAAAAAAAAAAAAAAGCGGGGCCTTTGTAAAGAGAGTGCCTTCATGCTTTCAAAAGTTGAAAACTTGAGCATTTTATGATGAAAGCCAAATTCAGGGTAGTGGGAGGAGAAGGGGGATGTAACCAGGGAAACTTTAAATGTATTGCGATCGTGCTTTCTTTCTTCGCCTTGGTGGTGGGTGCACAATTCTGCGGGCTAGAGCTGGCTCAAACCAGCTCATGAGAGCCAGTTGTTAAAATTTCAGGGATTTTTTCCAAGCCAGTTGTTAAATACAACCATTACAAAAAATATATATAAACTCACAATTAAGTAAATGATATTAAAAACAAAGGTAACAATTACTCAGAACTCATCACCTCCTGATTATTTTTCTATTATCTATGCTCTTGAGGTTCAGTCTATCGTATCTGTAATGTGGAAATGCTGTCAACAGTATACAACCAGGGACGATGCCTGGGTGGCTCAGTCGGTTAAGCATTTGCCTTCAGCTCAGGTCATGATCTCAGGGTCCTGGGATGGAGTCCCACATCAGGCTCCTTGCTCAGCAGGGAGTCTGCTTCTCCCTCTGCCTGCTTCTCCCCTGCTTGTGCTCACTCCCTCTCTCTCTCTCACTCTCTCTCTGACAAATAATAAATAAAATCTTTAAAAAATAGTATCCAACCAATGCATCTCTTCTCAACCTCTTGTGGGTAGCTGGACATCAGCCACGGTGAGAGTATTTACGTCATGGAAATTAGCAAATACTACAAATCAGGTTTGGGTTTCTGTTTGTTTCTCTTGCTTTCTGGGGAGTCCCTTGTGAACCATTTGCCAGCATATCATTTGGTACAGAAGTGTTCTTATATGTCAGGATGCTGGGGCTTCTGGGTTCTACTTAACGTTCCCTGGGACACAATGAACAAACTACTTCCCTCTCTGTGCTGTTTCCCCACCCCCACCCCACCCCCTTTTCACTTTTCTATACATTCTTGGTAGGTCTGGACTACTTTGTAATATAGACGAAAAGAAAAGAAAGTATTTCACCATTGCCGATTTTTTTAAAACGTCGAACATTCTGCAGTGGAAAGGATTAAAACAACATAGAACAGTGTGCTGTAGATGAGCTGTAATTATATAATTACGGAATACGTTGTTTCATAATATGTGCTTCTATATGTAACGTGGCCCCTTTATTATTATCAGTCCAGCAGGTGTTGCCTTCCTTACCTGAAGCCCTTGATGGGGCACTGCCTACAGATAGAGCACTTGGTCTGATGCTTCACTTGCTCAGCAATGGTGACCCGATGCAGAACAGCTAGCCACACCATGGACTGGGGCTCCAAGTTGACCCACTCGAGGAACTGTGAAGCTTCAATGACTGGCTTCCCAGTGCTCTAGGGAAACAAGAAACCCAATGACAATGACTGAGGCCCTTGTCCCCAGATTGGCAGCCTGCAGAGGGGCAGGAGAGCCAGCAAGACCTGGGCTGGCCTATGGCCTATTCTACAGAGGTGTCCACCTTCTGCTAGTTGAGCTGGCATCACTCCCCGCCCCCGCAGGACTCTGGCCTTAAAAGCCCAGAGAACCTTCTGCTTTGTTATTCCATCTGAGCAAACTCCCGTACATCTGAGTAGTTCAGATCGGAAACCTCACTCTTAGTTCTCCCTCCCTTCCTCCCACCCTCCCTCTCATCATCCTTCCCCAGTTCCATACTCACAAAACGGAAGCAACTACGGACACTGGGCTCCACATTGCTGCCCCCAAAGGCTGCCACTTCCCCCAGCTGACGGGGCACCTGAATGGCCTCGTGAAGCAGGACGCCGAGGTGGCGCTGGTCACACTGGCTGCCTGAGTTGGCTACTTGGCTGAAGAGGTCTGTGGGCCACACCATAAGTCATGGCCCACCCCGAAGCAGGAATGGCCAGAGAATGGTGTAAGGAGAAGGAGCAGAAAAGGAAGACAGGGAAAGAGCACATCGACTTAGCTAATGACTTTCGAAACTGGAATACTTAAAGGTCCATCCCTGACCTTCTAGAAGCCCATGAGTTCTAAAAAGAGCATTCTCTGAGTTCAGAGAGAAAAAGACAGAGAGAGAGGGAGAGAGAGGGCACATCAGAAACAGAGGGAGAGAGAGAGAGATGTAGACAGAGAGCAGGCTGCATGTGAGACCAATGCCAGACACAGATATGACACTGCTGGGAAAACAGACTCAAGAAGCAAGATGAAGGGGCATGGGGTTTAGGGGTGCCTGAACATGAGTCCCCTCCTGCTCATGTAGCTCACGGAGCCTGACACTGCAGTAAGCTCTCAACTCTCCACTCAAATGGAAAGAAACACTGGCACGGATAATCCGCAGACAGGAGATGATCATCTAAGAATTACCTCTAAGTGATTGTGGAATAGACTATGGTACTTATATTTGAATCGGGGCTCTATCTGCCCTGTGCGAACTACCCCCATCTTACCCCAACCTTAGAAAAGCTCCTTCAAAGGTTCTTGTCTGTTTCATACATCGCCTATGGCTTAGAAAATACTCAGAAGTAGAAGGCAGATGGCCTGAGTTTTAGTTCTGGATCCATTACTGACTAGCTTGGAGGACCTTGGGTAAGTGAGGAACCTCTCTCTGCTGCAGTTCCCTTACTTGTAAACTTAGGAGAAATAATCCCTGCCCAGTCCTTCTCAAAGGGATGTTGGGAGAAATCAATAATATCATTGCTATGACCTTGCTTTGCTCTGTCTCCTTCCCTGCAAAGCTTTCCCAGACCCCTGTCATCCCTCTTCTGTGATCTGATATAGCACATACCCTTTGCCATTCAGATTATTCTAATTAGCACTTTCAAAAATGCTTTCTGTGGACTTCCATCACCACCTCTGGACCGTCAACAACTTGAGCAGGGACCGTGTCTACTTGCACCTTGTACTCACCGCACTTAGCACAGAAAAGCACAAAATGCTGTAGAGAAGATGGAGGATGGAGGGAAAAGCAAAGGTACTAGAAACCAGAGAGGTTAAAAACTACAGGCGTACCTACTATTCACCTCCCAATAATAATCCCGATGGGGATTAGTGTGCGCCCCCTGCCCGCCCCGTGCAATCACATGGGAAGTCTCCAGTAGAATGTGTGACATGGCTTGAGCTTCAGACTGGGAGAGGGCTAAGCCCGATAGGCCACAGGAGAAGGGCACTAGGAAGTCGGACCCTTGGATACCCCAGGATGCCAACTCAGAACTTGGTCAACTAATTACATTAGATAAGAAGAAGCCAACCCCCTTGGAGTGACACTGGAAATAGTAACAGGCCTTAGACCCATCTTAGCCTTTGGCTGTTGTGCGTTCTTTGCATAGCCTGGACCACCATTATAATGTAGCCCGAGTTGTACTCTGCTGACTAGTCATAAGACCTACCTTCTGCTTATTTTCACCCTTCCTCCTCCCACTACACCTCTCCCTCCACCCAACTCCACTCCAGACTTTGGAGCTGTACTCACACTGCAATTTTTCCTTCACTTCTGTGCCACACAGGCATGCAATGCCGGTCTTAAAGGACAATGCCCGCATCTTCCCACTGCGACCACTAGGTTTAAGAGAAGAGACTGAGAACATGACTATACGGAACGAGTTAACATCTTGGCATTAATTCCCCTCACAGAGTTGATCCCAGCAGGGCTCTGTGCCAGCCATGCCCCAAGCTGAACTAAGTCTGAGTCCACTGTGGGAGCAAGCCCTTCTCACCATGCCCACTTCTGATGTCCCATTGGATTTCATCCTGGAGGCTTCCAGGGGTACAAGCCCTCACCTATCAAAAACATTGAGGAGCCAGTTGAGGCTCATGTCCACACAGAGTGGCACGTTGACCAGGATGCCTCTTTCTTCCTCCAGCCGTTCATATAAGGCCGTCAGGCAGTGAATGACCTCTACCACATCCATCACATGCTCACTGGCCTGCAGATCATGCTCATTGAAGATCTCCAGGGCTGTGGTTAAAGTTACCAGGTCCACTGGGAAGGAAAAGAGACAGGGGGAAAGGATAGCCAAAAGTAGAACTCCAAGACTAGTCAAGGAGTTAACACACCACCATCACCAAATTTGACTCCATCTCCAGACCCACCATTTTTAAGTAGGATACAAGATTGCCCTTCACCAAGACCCTTATCCCAAAGAGGGGGATGGCAGCGAAAGGCCCCCTAAATTAACCTAAAATGTGTATATACCCCTACATTCTTTGACATCAGTTTCAAGAAGATGGTAGGAGGTGAGTAAATTCACCTCCTTTGTTGTATGAACTCCTAAGGGGTCAAGTCCCATTTCCAGGCGCCTTCCATTGTCCCCAAACCCCAGACTTGTTTCCAAATAACCATAATCCTCCTCCTCCTTGTCCCTTCCCTGCCCAACATGGAGAGTCAAGCAACTATTTTGTGGCCAGAAGTATCCCAGTCCAAGGTTTGGAGCCATCAGGGGTGCCTGGAAAGAGCAGGTACCCACAGCCAGCATCTCCCAGCCTTTGGAGAATTCCCACCAAGCCAATCAACACCCCGGGCCTGAGGTGGGATAAAAATGGAGAACAGGAAACAGATGAGGAAGAGTGGGAGTGGGGGTGAAGGTCATGGAGAGATGTGAGGGGAAACTTACAACGCAGTGCCTTCTGGACTCTGCGTAGCTTCATGGCAGTGCGGTAAGCTGAAAACTTAATGTTGTTCAGATCAGCTGCAAAGAATGGAAAGAGCCACACTCAGATCGGGGAAATGCACATTAAAACCACCAGAAGATACCATATCACACCCACCAGCTTGGCAAGAGATTAAATTCTGACAATAGCAGGTGTCAGAAAAGACGTGGATAAATGAGGAGGGCTGGTGGAAGCATGAACTGATACAATCACCTCAGAAAACAACTTGGCATTACCTCTTAAAATTGAACAGTCATGTATCCTGCAACCTGCTGGCTGTGTATCCCTACAGCAGTGATTTTCAAACATTTATTGACTAAGACACATGGTAAGAAATTCATTTGGCATCACGGTCCAATATGGACACCCATGTGTGCATGTATAAATAACTGAACGAAACATTTCAGGAAACAGTGCCTTGCTAGATTTGGTAAAGTAAAAACATAACAAATACCGAGCAAATAGGACTCTTGCTAAGGATCTGTTGCACTTTCAAATTTCCTAGTCTATTCACGATGCACTGAAATGATGTTAGACCTGTAGACTGAAAGACATGCACAGAACGTGTCTTCAAGAGCTCTTTAACAGCACTGTCCTTTATGAGTTCCAAATGATAAACAACCCAAAAGTCCATCAACAGTAGACTGGATGAAGAAACTGTGGTATATATAATGGAACATTCTATGGCAGGGAGAATGAATGAACAATATTTACATGCATCAACATGGACAATATTTGCAACCTAATGATGACTCTCTCTTAGTAGCCAACACTAAGGCACATGAAAGTCACACTCATCATAGCCTGGACAGTGTCTTTCAAAGCAGAGCTTGTTCACATCTCTAAGCTTAAGACCCTAATGTGATAGTAAAATGGTCCAGGAGGAATGTAGAGCCTCTAGTTGAGGGTGGGGGTGCAGAGGGGAAAGGAAGGAAGGCTGCTGGAGAAACGAGAAGGCACTCACTTCTGCCCCCACCTGCTTGTTGAATGGATTTCCCTTCTGTTCTTATAGGAAAAAGACAGCTGTATAGATCTCCACCCTATACAGGAATCCCGAATTCTTACCCAGGGTTTGGTATAATTCTGTCATCTTGGGATGGTCCCAGCAAGTGGTCTGAGCCTGGTGGCTACAAACAGAAGCATCAATAATACCAGGGTCCATGCCACCCCCCCACGCCCCCACACACATGTGTGCATCACTCAGTGATAGGTTGGATGCAAGGAGCTTCAGGATCCCAGGGTGAACCATGAAGATCCCAAAGCACAAGCGTTCACCTTTACCCAGGTAGAATCTTGAGCTCTTGAGATGAGTAGGAGGAAAAACTGGACTGGATGGAGGAATTCCAACAGATAAGGAGGGACAGGGAGAAAAAAAGACAGGCAAGGGAGGGGGGGTGGGCAGGTGAATGACCCGCTTCTAATTCAGATGGTCACTCACTTGATGTAGTAGGGAACTTTATTGGGTGAAATTGCTCTTTCCCAGGGAACCTGCACAGAGGCTGATAAAAGAGAAGAGAGAGAAAGAAGTTGGCCACTTATGCTCTTCAGACCCCTGGGGACTCCCCTGCTCTATCCTCCTGAGCAGGCGGTCAAGCCCAAAAGGGGATTCCTGACTCGCCCTGCCAGCTCTTAACAGCCCCTGAAGGTGGGACAAAAACTGATGAACGCACTTCTCTCCCTGATGTTAGGGCAAGGGAAGAAGAAATTGTCACTGATACCCTCATGTTTCAGCCACCCTGACGAACTCTTCCTTGAGCAGCCTGCCATTTCTACCCTTTCGGCTGTTGTGGATATGAAGGGGACCCTCAAACCCCTTCCCCCACAAGGTCAAGCTTCTCGGTCCTGTGGGGCAATAGGGGATGGTATTGCCCATTTCTCTCTGGTGAGGAATTCTGGAAAAGGATGCCCTTCTCTGCTCCATGTCTTTATCTTCCAGATGTTTGAGGAGAGGCTTCGTGACTTGGCCAACCTCACCGCAGTTTCCCTGGGTATAAGAGCCCACGGGAGGTACAGCTACATGCCAGTGATCATAAGAGCAAGAGTTCTACCCGCCATTAATGTTTATTGAGTTCCTACTATGAGCCAGAGACTCTGCTAAGTGCTTTGTGTACATAGCTGATTTTCATATCCGGACATTCTCACCATCTCCACTGCCGCCACCCCGACTTGGGTCACCATAATCCCTCACCTGGATGATTACAATATGCTCCCTAACAGGTCTTCCTGCTCCCGCTCTTGCCCCCCAACACTCTGACTCTGTCAGCTCGTGTCATCTTTCTGCCCAAACCCCTCCAAAGGCTCTCCATTCCATTTAGAGTTAAATCCCAAGGTCTGACCATGCCCTACAAGGGTCCTCGGTGCTCTGGTCTCCTACCCTTTGATCTCCCATTTTCTCCTCTCCTTCTTACTTGTACACTAGCCTCCTTCTTGTTCCTCAGGCATGCCCCTGCCTTAAGGTCCTAGAAGCTGCTGTTCCCTCTGCCTGGTGTGCTCTGACCTCAGCTATCCACGGGGCTCATGGCCTCATCTCCTTGAGGGTGCTACTCAATTGCCCTGCTCTCAGTGAGGTCTTTCCTGACCATCCTATTGAAAATTGCAATGCCTCCCTCATCAAGTCCAGCACTGCCTTTTCATGCTTTCCCTGCTTTACCTTCTACCACAGCACTGGTCACCAGTTTACCTTATATATATTGTACTTATTTGTTTACGTTCTGGCTTCCCCTACTAGTGGATAAGCTCAGCAAGTCTAAAGACTTTTGTCTGTTTCATTCACTGAGGCGGCTTCAGTGCCTGAAACACTACTGGGCCCACATCAGATCCTCAATCAGTGTTGAAAAAATGAAGCTATTTGACTTCCGTAACCCTGTGAGTTAGGTAGTATTTTCTCCTCTTTTTACATATGGGGAAGATTGATGGCCAGAAAGGTTAAGCTATTTTTTTCAAGCTTGCCCAACTATGAAGTCAAGGAGCAGTGACTCAGACCCTGGCCTCTCCGACGTGAGAGCCTGTCCTTTCAACCGCTGCTTTATCCTTACTGCTTCTTGGATGCCATGATATCCTGGGCTCCCACCAGGTCCCCAAGGGACGAGAGCAGACTCTCTTGGAAGGTATCTGAGGTTCTGCTAAGTGAAGTCTAGTTTGTCTCACGTACAGGACAGGAAGTGTTGTGACCCAGGCCCGAAGTCCCGGTGGGCATCCTGGAGCTGCTTAAGCCTCTCACCAACTGACACCTGTGGAAAGAGGCAGAAAGTCAGTGAATTCATTCCAGATATTTAGTGTGGGATTTCCAGGTGCCTCTGGAAATCTTTGTGAAGTCCTTTACAGGCTAGCTCCTCCCACAGCTGCCCAACTCCTAGCCCTTCCACATCACTCCCAAGGGTCAGAGAAAAGCATCCTTAATTCCAGGCCATAGTCACTCTTCATCTGCCCCTGTCCACCCTGAATGCCTACATTTAGACAGGTCCCTCTCAGATCTTCATTTTTCAATTACTCCCTGCAGCCTAGAGGTTGAGAAGACTGTTCCCTGGCCTGAAATTCTCTGCTATTCTTTTCCCATGTAGGTCCCACTTTAATGCCCCTTCACTTTCTTTTGGCCTGAAGATTTCCCCCAAGCCTAGTTATATCAAAGCTCTTCCCTATGGCTCACTCCAGGCTTCTCTTCTACCTGTAGCTGTTTCCACCGGACATTGATCTGCTCCAGGGCTCGGGAATTCTCCATTGACAAGTGTACATCAGAAATGGCGAGTTGGTGGGCCAGATCATTCACCAATTTCACTCCATCTTTCATGGGGGAGAACTCTTCTTTGAACAGCTACAGAACCAGAACCCAAGTCCCACAGCAAACAGAGAGTGGGAAAGAGGAACCATTAGTCATTCACCTCAACTCCTCCCTCTTCACGACCAAGAGCACGACACAGGTGCTTGCTATTAAGCCATTTGGATTCAGGTGTGGGGGGCCACTGTCCTTATTCTCTTCCTTTCCCACTCTCAGAAAACGCCAGGGGAAGAGAAGACAGTGGGAGGACAGAGGAGACTCCAGCTAAACCAGCTGTCAAAGCCAGCACATAAACTGGGAAAGCTCAGTTACAGTCTGGGCCAACAGTGAAGCTTCAGTAGCAGGGACTGGGAGGAGTGTCAGGTCTCAGGGTGGGCCATAGCCAGGTTAGGTGCCTGCATACCTTAATAGCCTGGATGTGCTCAGGGAGTGAATCAATGAAGAGATCCCCAATGGGCTCCCATGTGGCTCGGACTCCCTCAGCCTGGGTCAGAGTATTGCTTAATTCCTCCATTGCCCCTTGGATCTCCAACAGCTGCTCCAGAGTGCGCTCAATATGGCGGTGCTGGTCCACACAGCGGGCTGTCAGCTTCTCCCATAGTTCACTGGCCACTGTTGCCTGCTTCCACACAAAGCGGCTAAGGTTCTGGATCCGCTGTCTGGGAGAGGTATCTGTAAGAGCAAGCAGGAAGCCAGGTCAGGCCAACCTGGCAGGGGCAGCCCAGGGAAAGACAGGGACAAAGATAGACCTTTGTAAAATGTGTGTGTGTGTGTGTGTGTGTTTAGCACTATGCGATTTATCACACGTGTAGGTTCATGGATCCCCCACCACAGTCAAGAGACCATATTGTTACTTTTGCCCTACTATGAGGATTTCCTCATATTCTCAAAAAATGGGCAAGGTAAAGTATTTTAAGAGGTGCCGTGAGGTAAATCATCCAGAGTCCTATTCACATGACGCTAGAGCACTATTTTGCTTTAGTGTCTGCTGCCCACTTCCATCCAAAGGAAGGAGGCATTTTATGCCCAGGAGAGGTTAGCATAACTTGCCTAGCTTTTCCACCGAGGCACCTAAATTGGGGGTTTCTTCTTCCTCCCCCAGATTTCCCCTCAGGAGTAGATTCAGACCCCCAAAACTCCAGGCTGGTCCTATCTGAGGCCCACTGGGCAGTAAATTGACTACTGGCCTCCTACTGAGGGGCTGAAAGTAAACTGAGCGAGTCAACAGCTTTACCAAAGGGCTCAATTAACAAAGGGTCCTTCCAGGCTATTCATAGCCAGTCTTGAAAGGCAAAGACTTCCTGGAGGAGAGGACCTGCTGAGCTACCTCTCAGACCGAATCACCATGAATCCCCCGATGTTACCTTATTTGAACCTAAACCTAGAGTGGCCTACTTCTACTGAGGAAAGGGACCAGAGGTCACCAGGGTCAGTAGCAAAGACCCATGATAAATTTTTCTCCTAGCTTTTTAGATTTTAGAAAGATTTTTTTTTTTAATTGATCAGAGCATCACTGCATGTCTCTCTATGTTGGAATGAAGCAGTACGTTTTTAAAGGACATACTACTACTACTTTTATTCACTGAGTCAGCTCAATGTGTTCGAGCCTTTTGTGTTTTTTCCTTTTTATGTCTCATTAGAAGGCCACACATGATGCCCCACAGAGCCACATACAGCTTTGGGCCACACGTTGATCTCCCCTACTTCCAGGTTCTGTTCTCTTTGCTTTTGCCTGCAATGTGAATCTTGCTTCTTCCCAACTTTGGACCCCTAAGAGAAAATTAGCCTCCTAGATAACAGCTGAGAAAATGAGTTTGGGGAAGGCAGGAAGGTGTTTAGCAGTTCATAGCTAAGAAGAAAGCAAAAGAGAGGAAGACCACCCACCTTTGCTCTCAGACCGAGGTTCCTCTAATTCCTCAAATGGGTGCTGGGACAGGAAGGCCTGAGCTGACTCCAGCACAGAGTAGATATAGGGGCCCCGAGACTTGACATCTTCCATAAAGGCCTATGAAGTTTAGCAACATGGTCAGCAGGGAAGTAAAATCTTTCAATTGCTTTAAATTCCACTCTGCAATTGACAACCTTTCTTTTCGGTGCAACTTGATCCTTAAGCATTATCATGTATCTTTGGGCTACCCAAACAGAAAGGGGTGCAGTCCTCCCTATAGCCAGAAGAATGACTCTGACACTGGGACGTCTATTTAGTATGAAATGGGTCTGTTTATGCCACAAGGTAGAGAGAAATGTGGACATTTGGGGTGGGAATCTTGGTTCTCTGGAAGACCCAGAAAGTCCCCTGTAAGGGGCTTAGAGAAATCAAAACCAGATAAGCAGGATTTATATTATAATTTTTTTAAAGATTTTATTTATTTGTTTGACAGAGAGAGAGAGCACAAGCAGAGGGAGAGGCAGAGGGAGAGGGAGAAGCAGACTCCCCGTTGAGCAGGGAGCCCGACATGGGGCTCAACCCCAGGACCCCAGGATCATGACCTGAGCTGAAGGCAGATACTTAACCGACTGAGCCACCCAGGCACCCCTATATTATAATTTTAATTAATTTTTTTTGAAATATAGAGAAGAGTACACAAATCAAAAGCATACAGCTTGGGGAATTTCCATAAACTGCTTCCATATCTGTAATCAGTACTGAGATCAAGAAACAGAACTCTACCAGCATCCCAGAAGGCACACTCAATGACCCCTTCTGGCCACTATCTCATCCTTCCCCTTTAGGTAACCACTGTCCTGACTTGTAATACCACTGATTAGTTTGGTCCTTTTTGAAATTCATATAAATGGTATTATACATTACAGTACTCTTTTTGTATCTGTTTTTTTTTTTTTTCACTAAACATACTTTGTTTTTTTAAAGATTTTATTTATTTATTTGACAGAGAGAGACACAGCGAGAGAGGGAACACAAGCAAGGGGAGTGGGAAAGGGAGAAGCAGGCTTCCCACCGAGCAGGGAGCCCGATGCGGGGCTCGATCCCAGGACCCCGGGATCATGACCTGAGCCGAAGGCAGACGCTTAATGACTGAGCCACCCAGGCGCCCCTAAACATACTGTTTTTAAGAGTCATCTATGCTGTGGCATGGAGTTATAGTTTATTTTCTTGCTGTACTGTATTCCGTTCTGTATCCACCTTTTAAATTGAGATATAATCGAATATACAATTGTATAAATTTAAGGTATACAACATATTGATTTGATACATTTCTATTGCAATATGGTTGCCATTGTCCCCTTAGCTACACCTCTGTTGTATCACGTAAGTATTTCTTCTAGTGCATTCTGTATTCATTCTTAAGAAATATCTGTTGTTAGTTTCTGATTATAAGAGGTAATATATGTCACAGAAATCTTAGAAATTTCAGAAAAGTATGAAGAAGAAAATTAAAAAGAACTCTAATTTCATCACCTAGCATTAACCATTGTGAACTTTTTGATATAGTTCCTTCTTATGTTTTTGTATATGTGTATACGTGCACACACATCTATGTAGATTTTTGTACAATTGAGATCCACCTGGATATAGCTCTGTATCCTATGTTTATGTTTTTTTCACTTAACATTATAGTATGCTCATTTTCCCACGTTCCCACTGAAAATCAGGGCAGGATTTTAAAGGGAGGCCAATTTCTGACGAAAGGGCTAAGGAGAAAAGGTTTGACTTACTCTGGTGGATTTTTATCCAAAAACCAGTAAAACTGGATCCAGCCTTCGTTACTTCAGGTGTCTAAGCAGAGGCTAGGTGCCCATCTGTCAGAATCCAGCAAAAAAGATCCCTTCCCAGCTGAGAGGCTACACACGGCAGCCTCTGTAACTCAAACCTACCGCATGTGTCTCCTTCTCCTGTTGCACCAGGGCCACGTCCCCTTGCAAGGGCAGCTGAGCTGACAATTCTTCATCTTTTTGGCTGAGCCAGTCAATAATCTCTTGGAGAGGAAGCTGAAGCTTTCCACTGTGGTCTGAGAAGGCCTCTAGGCGAGCGCTGCACACAAGGTGTAAGACCAGTGATTTTCAATCTTCTTCTCTTTTTTTTTAAGTGGCAAAACATCTTTTCCCCCAAATACTTACGTGTTACTTTAATGCATAAAACAGATTAAAGAGGAGCTGCTCTGGTTGAAGTGGGAGGAGGCCCAGAGCCCTCCCTCCTCCTCACCCACAGAGGTTCCTAAGGCACCTTCACATGGAGTGCAGTACTAAAAACCAATGGGTAGGTCCATGAGCGGGAAGCATCAGTTAATTCAGTTGCATGCCCAGCATCAGGCTGGGAAGGGGAGGAAACTGAGCAAGGGCATTAGGGGAGACAGCTGTCTGGTTGCCGTTTTGCCTTGGAGGAACTCAAATCATGCCAAATTACTCACCAACAGAGGCTTCTCAGAGCCTGCCCTCTGAGCAGAAAAGGATACAGTAAGTAGAAAGGCTAAGTCAGGTGACTGAATGCGGGCACTCACATGTGTGAGGACGCACACAAATACACGCAGCCCAAGGGTCCCAAAAGATGACAGCACCATAGGCTAGAGATTTGACATATGGAAGGAGAAAAATGCGCACACTATAATCATCTCAGTATGCCTCCCTCCACAAATGAAACGTGAGCTGAGGACCAAGCGGTAGGAAGCTGGAGGCCAGCCTAGGTACAGCCATCAAGCCCATTCCCCGTAGCTGACAATAATAACTATTCATTGCCTCCCTACTACCTGGGCTAAGCCCTTACCTAAATGATTGCTTCCACTAATTCTCAGAGCAGCAACCTTATGAAGTAGGGAGGTTAAGTAATTGGCCCAAGGTCACACAGTTAAATAACTGGTAGAGCTATGATTTGAACTCTGGTTTATTTACTCCAGAGCCTGCATTCTTTCAACTTCTCTATGCCACCTCATTCCAGCCAAAGCCTACCAACAGGCAGGAGTTTGGGCTTTGATAATAGGGAGTGGAGAGGAAAAGTGTGAGGGGTAGGTTATGTAGAAGGGGAGGGAGAAGAGGGACAACTGATATAGGAATTGCTTTCATGCTCTTACTGATTTGCCCTCAGTTTGGGGAGGAATAGGTGGGCTGATAACCAATGGATGGGAGTAGAAGGCATAAAAGGACAGGAAAGAGAGCAGATAAGATCTACTGAGATGGAGGGCAATTACGAGAGGAAGAGGAGGAGGGAGTAGTCATATCCTTCATTTATACATCAGTGCTTTTAAGTTCAGAAAGCATTTTCCTATCTTATAAGAATCCTCACAACAGCACTGTGAGGTAGTTAGGACAGTTCCTTCACTTGTTTTTTTTCTTAAAAAAAAAAAGAAAGAAAACAAAAGTGAAATTCAGATAGCTCAAACCATGTATCCAAGGTGACACAACTACTTAAAATCCAAGGCTCAAATCTAAGTCTCCTGACTTCCGACCCAGGGTCCTTTCCAAAGTCCAGAGAAGGAAAGGGAGAAGTGGATGATGAGGCTGACGAGAGGGTGACACACAGGCTGAGAGGAGAATGACAAGTTGCAGCAGCAAAAGGAGCCCAACACTGTCCCAGCCAATTGCCTAAGGCTCCTGTTTCTAGGGGCCAGGCCTTACCGGAGGTTGTGAGACTTCTTTTTGATTTCATTCCAACACAGATTCATGGCTGGTGGTTCTAAGGGTCCAGCGGCACCAACAGACCCGTTGAAGAGCTTTGGGCTTAGGCAGGAACCCCCAGCACCATCCTGAGGAGGCGCAGGGGCGGTAGCAGCAGCTCTAACCTGGACAGAAACATAGACATCCTGCGATCCCCGGAGTGTGTCACACCGTGGTCTGCTCCAAGCCAAGGACGGGACAAATGTGAACAGGGGGAGAGAAAGGCTTGTCCCAGGGTGTGTTGGGGGGGGGGGCAGGGTGAGATAAAGGAAGATTCTGTGGCTCTTTTCATTGCAAGGTCCTCTCTTGGCCCAGGTCAGTGACTGAACTGCTCACTATTATCATTATTACTCTTATTACTGTAAGTTCTGCCAAGACTACTTACTGCCCGGATGGGATTCTGGAAGTACTTGCTTTAGATAAGAGCTGCTCAGAATAGCCCAAACACTGGCAACCACAGCATTCAAGGTAAGCCGTAGGGTCATGCTTCAGTGTCCCACAGTTTACCCAACCTGCTAGAAAAGAAAGCTGATGGGCTGCCTCAGAGATTCAGGGAGACAGAGAGCAGACCAGCCAGAGAGAGCTACTGGTAATAGATGTCCGACTTCCCAAATGAATCTAGGCCTTCCTTGGTGTTCCCTCTCCCTCTTCCCCACCTGCATTTTCCACCAGTTAGGAAGCCTAGAAATAGTCCTAAAGAGCACTGTTCATCTTCCATGGGTGGAGAAAGAGCTAAAGCCACATTTTTGATCCTGATCTCCAAAGGACTCTGAACGGAGTCAGCAGCTAAAAGGACCAGCCATAGAGTCTGCCAAAGGCTCGCCTTGTGCCCTTAAGCTCAGAGCCTATCACTTGCTCGCCCTGCAGGGTATCATAAGGTTTAGGGGAATGAGGGTAGTGCCAAGTAGCCCTTAAGAAGCTAGCTACCTCTAGCACAGTGCCAGGACTGCCCAGCCAGGGGCAGAGGGGGATAGAGGGAAGGAAAGTATGGGGGAGGAAATCCCAGCCTGTGCCACTCAATCCCAGCCTGGGGAAACTCCCCTGCCCATCCGCCTATCTACCTGCTTGCCTTTTGCAGAGAGAACATGGTTCTGGGGGTGGCTGAGACTCTTCTAGTTTCCCTGTCCCCCAAAACCATACTTCCTTCCCACACAAGACCCTCCAGGCAATCTAGGAAACCAATCATCCCATTAAAACCACAGCTCACAACCACATACTGAAAGGGAAGTGAGGGAGCAACCCAGCTCAAGGGCAAAGTTCTGAATTCAGTCACCCTGGGTCCCCATGAGCTGACCCTACCTGTGCTGCCTGGGGACTCCATTGCGGGATTCGGCAGCTCCATGATGATCCCTCAGCTCGTGTCCAGAATCAGTGTCTGGTGAGCCGCAGGCAGAGTCCTGACAGGCTCTAAGCAGGCTCCCTCAGGGGAGGCCAGCAGAGCTGAGCCAGGTCAGGAGGCGGGAGTTGTCACCCTGTTTGTTTACTGACCCCCCAGGAATCTGGAGGGGGCGGCTCTGTCAGGGCTCAGCCGGTGAATCAGAGCTTTGTCCCTGGGGAATTCCAGCTCGCTCCCAACTGGGCCCGCCACATGGGGGCCAGGAGGACCCTCCCAGGCTGGCAAGGATGGCGGGAGTGGGACTGGGCATTCCATGGTGCTGACGAGGGGCATGCACAGGGTAGTTTCTCTTGATCTGTTCTCCCTTTCCACGGAAGACACCAAGGACTCACTGCCTCCAGCCCCCCCCACCCCGAGATAGAAGAAAAGATCAGCCCACTTGGGTGACAAACCTCTGGTAAGCTATTTCCCCAAAGCCTGGCAGGAGGATGGGCTTGGAAATAAGCCTTGTCTTTAACTAAGTAAGTGTGTGCCCAGAGGCAGTGAGGAGTGGGTGTTGGCGCACCTGGGGACGGAGCCATGGGAAGGCAGGGTCAGGAAGTTGGACAGCAGAAGATTCGTCTAAGCCCACTGTGAAAACAAGGGGGTGCTCTGCCCTGCCTTTGGGAGGAAGAGCTGAGAGGAGGGAGAGTCATTTTCCACCCCCTAGACCTCTCCCTGCACTCTAAGGCTAGGGGGAAATAGATGGGTCTATGGGCATCCCCTTGGACCGCTGCCAGGAAGGGAGAGGGCAGAATGGAACCCAGCAGCTCTGAGGATCCAGTGCCCTGCTTGTGCTGCCCTGGGCCACAGGCCTGAAGGGCAGGGCCCCTCCTGGAAGTGACCCCTCTTCTCTTTCTCCAGCAGACTTGCCTGGGGGAAAGGTTAACATTCCCTAGCTAGGCCCCCACCCCTCGGCCCTGAGGGAAAACACTTCGTTTTTACCAAAAAAGGGTTCTGTTCCCATCCTCATTTATCTCCCACAGAGTCTTCTGGGCTTTCCACAGTTCCACATTGTTTCCATGCTGAGGCCCACCTACAGGAATAGTTGGAGCAGCTGCCTGACCCTTTCTGGGGGTCTGGGGTGGAGCCATTCTGGGTGGATGGGTGATGGCAGGGGATGGCAGGTCAAGAGCAGGGAGGGGCTCTAGCTCCGGGTCACAGCTTTGCTTATGCTGGGATAATTGGGCTCAAGCCAGTCTCACAGAGTCCCCTAGACTGGGAATGCCCCAGAGCGCGAAATGGCTCCTTGTGACCCAGCAACAACCAAGTTTTCTTGTTTCTGAGAGAAGCGCCCACAATGAACTGGGCTCCACCCATATTAGGCTGTCATTCCCTTCAGACTTCTTAGTTTCCCAAATCCCCATTTGGCTCCCTTACTATACCCCCATCACCCTGTTCTCCCTTCCTAGTTCCCTCTTATATTCAAAAGCCCCCTTAGCAGAGCCAGGCACACAATAGGCAACTGATGAATAACAACATTTTTCGTTCCCTACCACTGGCCTTCTACTTCTGGCTTTTGTGGCCAAGATGTTTGCTTCTCACTCCAATCCCCAGAGGGCTCTCTCCTGATCTCTTGAAACTTTAAGACAAAGTCAGGGCCATTGGGAAGGAAGAGAAGAAACTGAACAGTGGCAGAGGAGAGGGGTTGGTCTCACTATTCTCAATCACAAAATGAAGCCCTCAGGTCCCTCTGCCGAGGTGGTGAAGCTTAGAGAGGGGTGGATGATGTGCAGGACAAGCGTTTTGGAAGGGCCCAGGCTTCTCCATCCCTTGACCCTATGTCAGTCCCACTCTGGGGAAGGGGTGGGTACACTGGGGGATGCTAAGCTGACACTGGCTTGAGAATATGTTAGAGGCAGCAATTTCTCTCTGGTTAGATGTGGGAAGACAGCTCAGGAAGACCTGGCTGTTATGCCTCTCTGGACCTTTCCCTCATTGTTCTCTGTAAAAATGGACTCCCCAGCACCAACATTCTCCATCCCTGCTGCCGTTCTCCCTCCCTTCCTCCTCCTTGTATATTCTGCTGCTGTCTGCACCCCCAGCAGTGACTCAGCACCACAGCGCATCTGTGAGATACTAGGAGACATAGTACTTTTTCACACCTTCATGGCCTCTGGACCCCAAAACATTGTAGAACAAGCCAAAACATGTTTATGCCTCCCCCTTGTCCAGTTAACTTCCCGTGGACCTCCCTCATTGTCAGGAAAGGGGGCTATCTTCTTGGGATTACTGCCTCTCATACGTCCTCTACCCACCCACCAACATACATAGGCAGGAACACATAGCACCATCATTCTACTACCAGGGAGGAGAGTGGAAAGGAGAGACAGGTACGAAGGTCAAGGGACTCGAAGTGGGGCTGAGCCGGGAGCTGTAAGACTAAAGACTTGAGAGGAAGAGCCAATGGAAGGAGAGAGAATATTCTGTAGGTGCAGAATATAAAGTATGCCATAAAGAAGCTAAGGCAAAGGAAGGTCCTGCCTTGTCCTAGGTCACACCCTGAAGGGTCCCTGTTCTGGGACCTCCCTTGGGAGGTTAACATGGAACTAGTCCCCCTCAGCCATGGGGGCCCTGCCCAACCCAACACATTTCCTTGCCCTATGCCCCCTATAAAAGGCTTCATGAGTGATAAGGGATGAGCCAGAAAGAGGTCCCATGCCCTCCAAAGGGTTTCATCTATATAGAGAGTGCTCCAGAGCCTTAGGAAGCATGGACACCCACAAGAACACACACAGATCCTGTGTCCACTCTTTCTCCACAGGACTTTGTCTTGCTCTCAGCCTCTTACCTGAGGCTGGGGGCAGGTGCTTCGGAGGCTGCTGCTGTGATGGAACTGGTCAGCTGCCCGCCATTCATGACATCGTGGGAGGGTATAAGGGCATCCCTGCATGACCATAGGTTGCATCAGAACCAAGGCTCATGTGGGGTGAGAATGGGCAGTGCACCGACTGTTGACCATAAGCACCTGGAAAAGTAACAAGGAGAGATTCAGAGTCAAGACCCAGAAAAGGCCTACGAGCCCAACACTTACCCAACAGTGCCTTGACAGGTTATGTAAATAAGTATTCAAAGCTTACTGGTCTACCCAGTAGTTTTTTTCCCAGGCCGCCATGTACCATAAGGGACTTTATTTAATTATTGACCAAAGAAGTATTTATTACTTATCTATTGTGCTTTGTGCTAGAGACACCAAAATGATTTGCTGTCTGAGATCTCACAGCATAGAGAAGAGGGTGGGGGAGATCAGGGTGAGGGGAGGCAGTCATATAAGCCCATAACTATAATAAAATGCTTGTGTGGCAAGTGTTATAATCGATATTTGACCAGAAGGCTAGGGGAGCACAGACAGAGGAAGAGCTAACTCTGAGAATGTGCATAGATTTCAGAGAGATGGCATTTGAGATGAGTCTCAAAGGACAAGTAGATGTTTGCCTATGCAGAGAAGGGGAAAAAGGGAGAAGGGTGTTCCCAGAAGAGGAACCCACCTATGCAAAAGTGGACGTCACCTAAAAAAGCATAGCGTGTTCAGAGCACAGTAAGTGCCATGTGGCTAGAGTTTAGGAGGCACAGAGTTGAAAAAGACACGGTGCCTGCCCCCGAGGAGTTCACATATAGAAAGAATAGACATGGGAAAAGTCAAGCCATGAAGTGCTACTTGCATTAATAATAGAAGTATTTATGGGATGGAGTGAAGGGATAGATGAGGTGAGTTCTACCTGCTCATATCAGGAAAAGTCTCCCTAGACGAAATACACTTGAGGTGAGCCATGAATGAGAAATCAAGATTGTCATTAGGCGGGGGAGATAAGACAAAGTAATAATAATAATAATGGTAATAATAATAATTCCAAACAGTACAAAATGAAATGTATGGCATGGGAAGCAGTAGACGAGGCTGGCCGTGGCCAGATCGGGTCATGCCTTGAATGATAAGCAGAGAATTCTGGGCTTTATTTCGTAGACAATAGGGAGGCACTGAAGATTTTAAGCAGAAAGGTGACTCGACCAGATTTGCCTTTCAGAAAGAGCCCTCTGGCTGCCTTGTGGAGTGATTCTCCCTGGGGAAGAACCCCTTGAGAAGCTGTTATAATTGGCAAGCAGTTGCAGTGAGGAGGGAGCAGAGAGCACGGCTTATGAGATACTTACCGAAGAGGTAAAATACATGGAGCTTGGTGATCAATTGAATGTGAAGGGTGAAGGAGGTGGAGGAGTGAAAAGTTTCTAATTTGGGAGCTGGGTGCATAATGTTGCCAACAGCAAGAGAGGGAAGACAGGGGAAGGAGCAAATTTGGTGTGGTAGGGGGTGAGGGCAGTGTGCCATAGTAAGCTATGCTTGAGACACATTCGGCTTTGGATGAGCTGAGAAAAGGAAGACATGAGTGAAAAAGTTAGATGTACAAATCAGTCAACAGTTTAGTGGATGTACACAAGTGGGATGAGAATGAGTAACAAAGACAATGCTTGCAAATGTTAAAAGTGGTATCTTTTAGTGTTGGGCATGCAAACCCTGATCCAAAGAGTAGGGAGTGTGAGCATCTTTGACTCCTGATGTTGATGATTAAAGAGCCACCATTTTTCGTTTCTATTTCAGTGGTTCCCAACAGTTTAGGTGTAAGGGCCCCTTAAGATTAAAAAAAAAAAAGAATCGCATTTCACCCACTCATACCTACAATAGTAGCTGTACTTTCAGTACTTACAGAGCGAGAAAAAGCACTTAAACATTTAAAGATCTGTGGATTTCTTGCACTGAGTGCCCTTCCATCCTCCTCAGGGGTCCTTGGTTCAAGACTGGGGACAGCTACAGATCATAAAGATGCAAGAGTTTATGGTCTGAAGGACACTTTCTTGTACTCAAAGTCTCAAGAGATTACACAGCTACATAGCTCCTCATGCCCAAAGAGATTCTCCAAAGAATGGCTGAACAGATGGCCCCCTCTTAACTGACACCAACATAAAATAATTAGTAATTCAGATAAAAACCAAGGTGTGTTATAAGCGTGAAGGCTACAAAAGGCTTGCCTTCAGACCTCTTTTTATATTAACATTTTTATTTTTGCTGATTACACAAGTCATGCATGTTCTTTATAGAAAAACTGGAAAACCCAAAAAAATCATAAGGATGAAAATTAAAATTACCTATAATACTACCACCCAGAAATAGCTACTACTAATAGGTATGAAGCCTTGCAGTAGTTTTTCTATGAAAAAAATATATGTCCATACATCTCCAATTGTCATCCTATGATATATATCATTTTGTATTGTGATTTTTTCACTTGCCATTTATATCATGATCATTTTAGAATGTCACTAACTATTCCTCTAAAACCTGATTTCTAATGGCTGTAACTGTGATAGAGCACTACGGTCGAGGCCATGGGCTCTGGCATCACACAGACCTAGAACCAGACCCACACTCTTCATCCTAATTGCAGTATGGCCTGGGATGAGTTAACCTCTCTGAGCTTCAGTGTTCTCATCTGCAAAATGGAGATGACAATGATACTGCCTTCAAAGAATTATTCTAATTATTAAAATTAATAATGAGTTTCAACAACTTACCATAGCGTCTGGCAATAGTATACTGCTCAATAAATGTTAGCTGGAATCATTGTTGTATACTACTCAGTTGAATGGATATACCATAATTTTAATGAGTAGACATACGTCACACTGCAATGAACAGCCTTGTACATATCTGTGATTCTTTTCTTATGATAATTTCCTAGAAGGGAGAATTCCTGGACCAAAGGGTATGAACCAATTTCAGGCTTGTGATGCATACTTCTAAATTGCCCTAGAAAAAATAGTTAGATCACTTTATACTAACACCAGCAATGTATGAGAGTGCCAGTTTCCCAACACACTTGCCAACAGTGAGTATTCTTATTTTTATTTTTATTTATTTTTATTTTTTAAGATTTTATTTATTTACTTGACAGAGAGAGACACAGCGAGAGAGAGAACACAAGCAGGGGGAGTGGGAGAGGGAGAAGCAGGCTTCCCACGGAACAGGGAGCCCAATGCGGGGCTCGGTCCCAGGACCCCAGGATCATGACCTGAGCTGAAGGCAGACGCCCAATGACTGAGCCACCCAGGTGCCCCGAATACAGTGAGTATTCTTATTTTTAAAATATCTTTGCCAATTTTATAAGAGAAGATGGCATCTTGAGGAGTTCTCTGTATTTTTTAATTACTAAAGATGCTTAACCCTACATTTTTAGTGACCAGTTGTGTTTCTTCTTTCATGAACTATCTCTTTGTCTCTTCCAAGGTTCACCTCTCTACAAATTATAACTTCCTTCCTTCTTATTCCTCTACTGACCTGATGTCAGGTTGATGCTTCACAAAACAAAAATAAAGCAAACAGGAGTCAGAGAATTCAGATCTTCTCATCCCAGTGCAGGTAGAGAAGGCATAAACCCCTTCTGGTCCTACCTTGATTATCCTCTGCTGTTTTCAGGCTTTGCCACTGACTGTGACGTCAAGTCATTTCACCTCTCTAGACCTTGGTTTGCTAGCCTGTAAAACGTTAATGTGTAAGAGTTGTCAAACATCAGAATACTAGTATTCCCTGTGTTTGTAGAGCCTGCCGTATTGTCTTTCTTGGTCCTCCGTGCAACCTGGTAAGGTTTGGCCCAGCCAGAATTATGATCCTATTTGAGAGACGAAGATGCTGAGACACAAGTGAGCCAGGCCTCCTGACCCCTGGCCAGTGCCCTTTTTTCTACAAAAGCATTCTTCCTTCTGCCTATTTATCTCCATGATGTCCCACATTACCACCTGTACATACTGATTCTCTTCCTCCCCCCCCCCGCCCCCTGCTGAGCAGGAGCCTGATGCGGGGCTCGATCCCAGGACCCTGGGATTATGACCTGAGCCAAAGGCAGACGCTTAACTACTGAGCCACCCAGGCACCCCCCGATTCTCTCCCTATCCTTCCTTTTAATTTGCAGAGGCTGGGAGGAATTGGAGATGAATCTCAGTCCCCAGATGGCCAAGTGTAGGAGATAAGACATATTTTTAAGAAGTATAACTTAAGAGAAAAGATGATTCATACCTTATGTGGGACACAGAAACCATGCCATGAGAGGTCACAGAGGAGGAAGTGTTCATCTTAAATTGGAGGGATTTAGGATGTATTTATGGAAGAGATCCTTTTGAGCTAAGGTGAGAGAGAAGATTTATACACATGGAGTAGTGCGAAGGATGCTTTCGGGGTGGAGCTAGCTCTTCGGTGCCCTCCCCTAGGGATCCTGCTCGATACCAAGCTGTGGCTTTTTGCTACTAGGAATGTTCTTCCTGGTTTTCAAAGCCACACACAGGCCCTTCCAGAAAGATTCAGTGGGGGAGACATTATTTCTCTTAGGCAGAGATAGAAGCTTTAAAAACATTTGGGAAATACCAGGATTCTAACATGAAAGCAAAATTATTGGCTATTGGAGGACAAGGTCTATATCTGATATTTATTTCTATCTCACGTATTTTTTTTAAGATGGTGGCAAGTACACAGCAGGCACTCGGTGAATGTTTCCTGACTTGATTTATGGAATTGAACTCCAACTAGGTCAGTGTACAGGTCCTCAACTTTGTAGGTACAAAACCCAGAAGGAATGAAGAAAAACACTTTGGATACATGTATCTATTTGCATTTGTGTAAAGTGATGTATACAGAATGTTAGCATTTGAAGCAAGCCTTGAAACGGCAAAAAAAAAAAAAAATTGTAAACAACCTAAATTTCCATTACTAGGGGACTAGTTAAATAAATACTGGTATAGGGGCACCTGGGTGGCTCAGTCGTTGAGCATCTGCCTTCGGCTCAGGTCATGATCCCAGGGTCCTGGGATCAAGCCCCGCATCGGGCTCCCTGCTCAGCGGGAAGCCTGCTTCTCCCTCTCCCACTCCCCCTGCTTGTGTTCCCTCTCTCGTTGTCTCTCTTTCTCTGTGTCAAATAAATAAATAAAATCTTTTCTAAATAAATAAATACTGGTATATCCATACAATGGAATTCTATACAGAGGTTAAAAACACAATTAAGAACACTTTATGTATCTCTTAGGACATAATTTTAAGTAAAAAGAAAAGAAGAAAAAATAAGGTGGTTAGTTTACATTTGTGTAAAACCAAAAGGAAAGTATGTGCTTATCGATGCAAAACAATTACATGGGTTAAAATAAAAGCATACAAAAGAATCTGTTAATATTGATTGGCTTTGGAGAAGGGAGCCAAGTGACTACCAGACAGAGGTGGGAGAATTCCCTCCATTCTTTTGGGATTTTCTCTCTTTAAAACTGAGAAATATAATACACTTAACAAAGAGTGCATAAAACAGATGTGTAAAATATACTGAAATATCATAAAGCAAATTCCCATATAGTCACTGCTGGGGTTGAAAAATAGAATCATTACCCACACCCACAAAAGCCCTGTGCCATCCACAAGAGATGCAGTTTTTACTGAATATCCTTTTGTACCCTGTCAATATATTAGCTCTTTAACAGGCACTTCCTCCCTTCCTTCCCACTCCTCACTAACATGCCGTGGACGTCTTCAGCAGTTTTCTGTAAAAATTAGTGCAGCGGCTTTTCCACCGCCAAATAAATAATAACAGTTAAAACTTATTGTATCCCAGGCTTTTCATCATTAATCAGTCTATATAATCAAGTCACATCATCTTCACGACAACCCCATGAAGGGGTTGCTGTTGTCTTCATGGTGAGGATAGGAACACAGCGGAACAGAGGCAGTAAGTAACCGGTTCAAAGTGATATTGTGAATTATGGGGTGAGGAGCTGGGATTTGTATCCGGGGCAGATGTGTCCCAGAACACAAGTTCTTCACTGTTTACATTATTCCGCCTCTGGAACTTCTAGAACCCAGGCCCTGAGGCACTGTAGTCACTGACCCCTAGCAAGCAGAGATTTTTTTTTTTTGGCTATGGGCTACCAGAGGGGAGCCCAAGCACTTGACTCAGTCATGCCGCACCCAGGCAAAGGCACAAGCAATTAAGAGGATGCAGTGAGTCTGGAGGTCTGGGGGGATCACCCAGCTGGCAAACCCTACATTTCAATGACTTTCCTAGGACATCCGAGAAGTAAAATTCTGGTCAACTCTCCTAGTCTCACCTCTGAGCTCCTCCCGTGCCTTTAGAACTCAGTAGATATATATATATATATATTTTTTTTTAATGAACGAATAAAGTCTACCTAGAAACTAGAGAAGTCTAGGCACCTATCCTACAGAAATACTTGCAGAAATGGATGAGGATATCTGCTGCAGTATTGTTTGCAGTCACAAAACTCTGCAATCAACTCAAGTGGTCTTTACCAGGGGACCGGATAAGTGGGCTACTGTCAAGAGACGCGGCACAGTGTGACAGTTAGGGATGTGGGCTCTGAGCCAGGACACCCAGGTTTGCATCCTGGCTCCACTACTTATCAGCACAGGTTTGGACAAGCCCCCCGACCTTACTGGGCGTCAGTCCCTGCATCCGTAAACCAGGGATAATGAAAAGACCTACCTCATAGCCTGGTTGCAAGGAGCTCATTCATGGTTTCTGACATCTAGTAAGTACTCACATCTTACCTATTACTACAGCCACTCATGAGATGAAATATTATGTAGCTGTTAAAAAGAGGTAGATCAGGCGCCTGGGTGGCTCAGTCGGTTAAGCATCTGCCTTTGGCTCGGGTCGTGATCCCAGGGTCCTGGAATCGAGCCCCACATCGGGCTCCCTGCTCAACGGGGAGTCTGCTTCTCCCTTTTCCTCTGTCTCTCCCTCTGCTTGTGCTCTCTTTGTCTCTCTCTCTCAAATGAATAGATAAAATCTCTAAAAAAGAAAGGTAGATCTATATACACTGATGTGAACAGATATTGAAGATATATATTTTAGATAAAAGAAAAGAAGTTCAGAATAATATGCCTGAGAGAACATCAATTATGCAAAAAGCTTTTGAAAAAAATCTACATGTGCATATGCATAGAAAGAAAGCCTGCAAGGAGACACAAAACCGCTCAGCAACATTATTTCTGGGGAGTTGTGTGAGGGGGATTCTCCCTTTGACTTTATACACTTCGTGTATGTGTATATATATATGTGTATGTGTGTGTGTGTGTATACACAAATATATGTATACATATATACATACACATACATTTATATGTATGTATTTTATAACAAGCATTTATTATTCTTGGGAGAAAAATAAATAAATAGGGAAGACTTTTAAATCATGAGAGGCTTGGCAAAGAACAAGGCAGTGGGAAGAAGACCCCCCTCCCACGTGCTACAGATTCCTCTCTCCAATCCAAGGTAACACTGAATGATGGCACCCCCTCTCACAGCACTGCCTTTCTACCTGACAGCATGGCACTAAGAGAGAAGACACACATCTCATTGGTACTGAACCTTGTTATGTGTTCCTAAAATAATTCTGGCAAGGTAGCCAAAAACTGAGGTTCTGCTTCAGATGCTCTCCCTTAATGAATAAATCATGGGGACTCGGATTGTCAAACTGGAAGGGATCTTAAAGATTATCTAGACCAACCCCCTCATTTATTTTTTAAGATTTTATTTCTTTATTGGACAGAGAGATAGAGAGAGCCAGAGAGCACAAGCAGGGGGAATGGCAGAGGGAGAGGGAGAAGCCCCGATGTGGGGCTCCATCCCAGGCCCCTGGGATCCTGACCTGAGTCCAAGGCAGACGCTTAACCGACTGAGCCACCCAGGCGCCCCCAACCCCCTCATTTACAAACAGAAAGAATGAAATGGGTTCCAGAAGTTAGTTGTCAAGCAATCTGGAGAAATGAAGTTTATTCTCCAGTGAAAAGAATCAGAGATGCATCCCCATGGGGAGCATTTTATTCTAAGGCCAATTAATGCAATACATCTGAAACCTCTATACACTGCTGGTGGGAGTATAAGTTAGTAAACCATTTTGGACAGCAATCTGACAATATCTCCCAAAGGTGAAGATTCTCATACCCTGTGATGGAACAATTCCTTTCTAGATATATACGCAAAAGCAACAGTCACCTAAGAATATCTATAAAAGACTGATCATAATAGCCCTAACTGTGAGCCAAAAACTGGAAACAGCCTAAATGTCCATAAACAGCAGAACGGATAAATAAATCATGGCATATTCATTAAATGGAATGCTATACAATGGTGAAAAAAATAAGTGACCTAGAGTCACATGTCACAACACGGATGATTCACAAATATAACAGTGAATTTTAAAAAATTGGACCAGAATATATCCCATTGATATAAATTTTTTTTATTCTTATGTTAATCCCCATACATTACATCATTAGTTTTAGATGAAGTGTTCCATGATTCATTGTTTGTGCACAACACCCAGTGCTCCATGCAGAATGTGCCCTCCTCAATACCCACCACCAGGCCAACCCATCCTCCCACCCGCCTCCCCTCTAGAACCCTGTTTGTTTTTCAGAGTCCATCGTCTCTCATGGTTCGTCTACCCCTCTGATTTCCCCCGCTTCATCCATTGATATAAATTTTTAAACCACACAAAGAAGTGGTATATGCTGTTTAAAGACACATACGTATGTAGTAAAAGTATAAATAAGTGCATGAGAATCATAAACACCAAATCCAGGAGAGTGGTTACTTCGGAGGGAGGTGGGGGGGGAGGGAGTTTTAATCATAGAAGGGTAGACAGAGGGTTTCAAGTCTACTGGTGATGTTTTTTTCTTAATCTGGATGGTGGGTATTCGGATTCTTATTATGTCATTCTTTGTATCTTTTTGAGCATAGAAAAAATTTTCACAGCACATTGGTTGAAAGAATGCAACAAATCTCATGGTGAAAAGAATCCACACTTTTGGGATGTAACAAAATACCAAAAGAAATGTATAAGATCCAAATGCTGCCCTCCAAATGACAGGAAGATTCCTTAAACCTGTTTCATTTTCCTGGGACTAGTTTCACAGGAGGGAACCTGCCGGAGAAGCAGCAGTAGACTGAGAATCAGGAGATGAGGGTTCCACTCTCTCGGATACTCATCAGCTTTGGAAAGGAGAACAATTTGATTACTCTGTCAATTTTTCTCGCATTTAAAAAGACAGTATTGGACTAGATTATCTGATAAGTTTTTTTCCACGTGACAATTTCTCCCAGGTTTTTTTGGTTCTGGGTTTTTGAGCAGCAAGTCCCCAAACTGTGTCTGCTAAAGTGTTTTCCATGTAGAAAAGTGTTCCCTGGTCAAATCCATTTGGGATCTACTGGGTTAAACAAAAGTAAACGGATTTATTTATGGCAGTCCAGCTCAGAGCCTTTTAATATGCTTATATATACATTGTGACTCTCTTAAGAGGAGAATTCGGTTTTGAAGCATTTTCAAAAACAAAAAAAATATTGGACCACGGAATGCACCCCCACACTACCACCACCACCACTCCTTATTTTAAAAACAGAATCTATTAACATTCTCTCAGAACAGTGTTCTGTGAGACATCAGCGTGCTCAGTGCTGTCCAAGAAGGAATTTGTCTCACTTGCTATTTCAGTTGCGGATGTGGGGTTAGAATCCCTTATAAGGGAGGAATGTCGTCTCACCGTATAGCTCCCCATAGAATGGGTTTCTTCCGAGTGTCCCTGGCCAGTTGAGAAGGATTATCTGCTTGGGCTTCATGAGTGACAGCCCCTCCTATCTGGCTCTGTGGCAGACTGAACATCAGAAACTTCTGGGGATCTATACTTAGAAGTGCTGCATCGCAAATACACTCTCTAATTCTGGCTCTTGGGCCTCTGTTAAATTTGCTTCAAGCCATACTTCCTCCTCTGGGTGATTTTGGAACTGAAGGGTGCTCTGGCGCAGAGCTCCAGAGATACTTGGCAGGAGAGCAGAGCGCCTAGGGGAACAACTTTCCATGTGTCTTCTCCCCCACCCCCTGCAAGAGTTTGCAGGAAGCAGGACTGCAAGCAAGATGAGGACCCAGCCAGGAAAAGAGGGACTCTGTCTTCTTTCAGGGACACGACACTTATCACTTTCACTCACAGCACCTCCTTTTCAGGGAGGGTTTCCTTAGAAGGCTCCCAAGTTCTTTGGAACCATATCCCACAGGGCCTCTTAAAAGGTGATGTACCTGAGTGCCTTTAGTCTAGAAACAAGGATTCCTTTGGAGAAGTCAGGAACTCAGGTGAACTAGACCTAGAGCCTTTTAAAGGCTTTCGGTTCTTTTGAACGATCCAAAAGAAAACAGAAAAGTCCGTTCTCTTGCATTCGGCATGCACCGTGCTCTCGATGGAAACGGGCGGCAGCTGCTGTCTCGATTCCACCCCGCCCCAGGCCAGCCCAGCTACCTCCTTGTCCCCAACGCCCAGAGGCCTAGCCCTGCCTGCCTACCAAAGGCGGGATAAACCGTAGCTACCCACACAGTCTCGGGCCCGCTTCCCAGCCTGGGGCGTTGGGCCCAGTGCCAGGAAAGGTACGGAACCCAGAAGGAGCAGGGTGCTTGACTCCAGGAGAGGTGAGCCCTATTGCACAGCACGCCAAGCTACACTTTCAGGAGTGCAGAGGTACCTCCTGATCGCATGGGGTAGGAAGGAAAGCAAGGGAAGAAGCAGAGGGCTTCAGGGAAGACGGATTGAACCAGGAAGCAAGGGCGGAGAGTAGGATGCGCCTTCAGCACCAGGCTCCTAAGGCAGAGCCCAGTCTACTCCTGCGTCCTGTCTGCGGACTAGACATTCATCTGCTCAGGAGACCTGCTCTGAGGTCCCACGTTTCCTCTCTCCTCCCTTTGCAGCCAGTGCTTTCCACACCCCTTCCCTTCCCTCCCGCCAGGAAATCCATCCTTGGACGAAAGGCATGTCATTGAGAACAAACACAAATGAACAAACAAACAAACAAGCAAGCAAACAAAGAAAGAAAGAATAGCCCTCTCCTCTCTAAGAAGCAAACTGTGGACCTTCCTCTTATTCATTAGTTGCTCACATTGGCTTGAGTTTCTGTTGTTCCTGGGCACCTTTTTGTCCGCCCCCCTCCCCCGGAGTCCAAGCAGTGGCCACTTCATCGTGAGCATTTGTTTTTAATGCAAGTTTCCCCCCAAAGGCACATGCAGGCAGCAGGTAGGGGGACACACACACACACACACACACAGACACAGACACGCGCGCGCGCGCGCACACACACACACACACACACACACTACCTCCAGCGCGTCCCTTCCCTCAGTCCTTTCCCCTCAGCCAGCCGAATAAGGAGAAAGGGCAAGGCTGGGGCATCATCTCTCCGTGGCCTACCTTCGGATTCCGGCAGGTCTGAGGAGCAGGCTGTAACTGGCCGCCGGCAGGCCGGCGCGGGGCTGCCTCTGTGAATCAGCAAAGGAGTCCCTGAGACAGGGATGCCGCCAGCTGCTGGAGGCACACTCTCCCTCCGTCTCTCCCACCTTGCTGCCCTCTTCGCTGTCTCCCCCTCCCCCTCGGCTCTCAGAGCCGCTGGGTGTTGCTATGCAATCGCATCAGGACTAACGGCGTTGCTCTGACCTCCGGCAAAGGTACCCTTGACTGGGCGAATGCAGAAAGCGCAAGGACAGTTTTGTGAAACTACCAGAGCCTCAGCGGCTCTCGCGGAGATTTCAGTTCATGAGAAGCAGAGGAGGAAAGCGGAAGAGGCTGAGAGGCAGAGGGGGAGATGGGGGGGAGGCTTCCACTGGGGAGGAGGAGACAAAAGAGGCCCGGAGATCAATACAAGCTGCTGAGCGAGGAGCCTGGGCCCCAACTTCCCCAGATCTAGCCCAGAGCCAAAGCCAACTTCAGAGCCAGAAGCTGGCAGTGTCCCTCAGTAGCCAGTCCAGGATTCGGCTTCTGTGTTGGAGGTTGAAACACTCTGCTCTAGAATTGTCACTGGTACCCAAGGCACAGCCTTGGGCCAGGGCAGACCTCCAGTCATCCCCGAAGTTCTCGGCTCACCCCTGTTAGAGCTACGTGGAGGAAAAAAACCTCCACGATGAAGGAAACAAAGTGGACCCTGAATGATTGGAGAGAATATATTTCCTCCATGCCTCACCTCAGCAACAACCCCCGTCATTCTCCCCGCTTCTGTCCACACCAGCCCCTTACTCCTCTATCACCCCTGTTGAAGAGAAGAGGGTATAAGCCCCAAACACCCTGAGAGAATTCAGAAGATCCACTCAATGGACATAGGGGATTAAATCCCTTTACAGAGTGCCCGGCACACATTACTTAATATTTGTTAAATGAGTAAATTGGGTGGATACATGGATGGATGGATGGATGGATGGATGGATGGATGGATTGAATAGCAGTCAAAAAGTCACCATCGCTAGGGGCGACTCGGTGGCTCAGTCGTTAAGTGTCTGACTTCAGCTCAGGTCATGATCTCAGGGTCCTGGGATCGAGCCCGTGTGGGGCCCCCTGTTCCTTGAGGGGCCTGCTTCTCCCTCTCCCTCTGCCCCCCCGCCCTGCTTGTGTGCACGCACACACTCTCTCTCCCTCGGTCAAATAAATAAATAATCTTTTTTTAAAAAAAAGTCACCATCCCCATCCTCCTACACGAACAAACATACTCATACGTAAAGCTCTAGCAGCTCCAGGCCAGGGAAAAGGATAAGAGAAGCATTCTTCTTTCCTCCTTCCACTTCTGAGAACAGGGTGCATGAAAGAAGAGAAACAGATTGGTTTGGGGGGGTTGGGGGTGTTGCTTAACTTCAGTGATTTGCATCTAAAAATTCTATAAGCTCTGATGGCACTGCAATGTAGATCAGAACATAAGACCTGGGTCTAGTGTTTACAGAGTGTCTACAGGGATTGAGAATTATTGTTGTTGTTGTTGTTATTGAAAATCCTCAGCTAGGAAATAATTAGTGTGTAAGTTATGTGTGTGTTTTCTTTTGAGATGAGATTTTTAAAAACTTCAGCTACTATTTCTAGTACAAGTTTAACGATAAGGCCTAATCTCTATAAAACAAGCAAACAAAATGGGAACCAAATGCCCCCTCCCCGCCCCCCAGATAGGCTTTCAGAGCTGTTTGCCCTTCCTGCTTGGCCAAACCAGGAGCAGCCAGGCCTCCACGAAGGCGCAGAAAGGGCCTTTGATTTCTGAAGGAACTTTTGGAAGCACATCCAGCTTCTCAATCTACACACCCTCAACGGAGCATTTCTTAGCTCCGCAGCCTAACTATTTGCTAATAGTCATAAGCGAAATAAACTGTGAATAGTTTTTTCGTCCTTTGAGGGGGGGTGCGTGGGGGGAGAGATAACCTAGGTAATGCCCATTGCCATTCCACAACCTTATTCATTGGCTCCCTGACCATGTTTACCAAAACTACTTCAAATTGTTTCTACTCTTCTCAAACGCCCAACCCGAGCCCACCTACTTCAGCAAATAATCTCCATTCTTGCTTTACTGAGAAGGTAGGAGCTACTCCTGCAAATTCTTTTCTGCCTCAGAATTTCTTCCAGTTTTCTTCCCCCTCTATCATCCCCAGACAAAGCAAACCCCTGTTTTCCCCCTCCTTAAGGTCAATACCTCTGCTCATGATCTCACAACATTCTCTTCTTATCTCCTCTGGGACTTTTTCCATAAATTTTCTTTCTCTTGCTTTCATCTTCAGTCTTTTCCTTGCCTCTGACACTTTCCCTGCTGTCTAAAAACATGTGAGGAGCAGGAATTCTGCTGACTTCTGTGAGCTGAGAAGTGGGAAGAATCTTTCCCTACTAGAGAAAGGCCCCCTCACACCTACCCCCTTGCCGCAACCCACCACACACACATAACCGCGTCAAGACTGTTTTTACAGACAAGTTGGAGAGGTTTTGGAGGGAAATAAAATCATCAGGGCAAAGAATTCCCAGGTTTTAGGTCGGGCTGGGAAGTAAAAAGCAGCATTAAGAAAATGCAGAGGGTAAGAATAATATCCTCTGGGGAGCCTGAGTGGCTCAGTCCATTGAGCATCCGACTCTTGATTTCGGCGCAGGTCATCTTCTCAGGATCATGAGATTGAGCTCCTTGTCGGGCTCTGCAATGGGCATGGAACCTGCTTAAGAATCTCTCTCCCTCTCTCGCTCAGCCCCTCCCCTCCTAAAAAATAAAGAAAGAAGAATAATAAACCTCTGTCAGTTATTCACAGAGTGGTTTTTACCACTTTGTTTTATTTATCTAGCAAAGATTGCTTCCAATGAATGGGGGATTTCATGAAACAAAGCCAAAAGGGTTAAGTAGAGGGACAGACAAAGGTGAAATGCCTCAGGAGAAGTTGGGATGTGAGAATGAGTCAGACAGTAGGAGGAGGGGTTTCATCAAGTGTTTATGACATAGACGAGGAAGCAGGAAATTAGGAGACTTGTTGGAGGAACACGTTAGGAATGTCGGGGCACAATGCCGAAAAGGCTGGATTTTGTCATTGGAGTTGATAAGGAACAATGCAAAGGCATGACAGATGGAGAACTGAAGTCTCAGTGTTGTCCCAATCGATGTTTTGAGCATCCTCTGCGGCTTTTGTTGAACATCTCAAAATGCAGAACTCATCTTACACACTTGGTTACCCTCCACCCTCTTTTACTGTTCTTAAAGCTTCTGCTAAATCAGAGCCAGCAGCTGGGATGTTATATAACCAAATATTATGTTCTGTTTGTTTTCAAATATATTCCATTTAGGCCACCATCATTTCAGTTACAGTTAAAGTGGAAAGAACACTGAATTAGGGGTCAGAAGACAAAGGTTTTAATCCCAAATTTGCTACTGTATTGCTGTTAACCTTCTTGATCCATGGTTTTTTTTTTTTTTTTTCCTCTTCCAGCTAGAGGATAATATCTGCCTTGTTCACTTGATTAGGTTGTGAATCAAACAGGATAATGAATGTGAACATATATTGAATATATTTAAATTGTGAAGTGCTATTCAAATATAAAAGATTGTTATTTCCATTGCTTCAAGGTCCTAGTGGCTTTCCTATCTGCAGAAGACATAAAGACCAGAGAATCTAATATTACACTGTATGTTAACCAACTAGCTCTTGTTTCCATGATAGATCAGATATTATGGTGCTTTAAGAGGACATACCAACAAGGCGCTCAGAGTCTTATTAATCATCCCTCATGTTATCAATCTCCCCATCCCCCTGGCCAGCCCAGGATGCCAGACACATGCACACATACTAACAACATTTACGTACGAGACTCCAGGATAGGATATACAATGCAATAAGAACCACTGGTTTTCTAGGCTACACAGAACAGCTACCGATTTCTACTTTGATTATGTTGAGGTTGCTGGGGCAAGGTGGGCGTTTCTTGCTCGGAACTTGCATTGAGAGCGGAGAGAACTAACATTTTTGAGCTCACACTCTGGGCCAAACACAGTGTAAGGCACTTGCCTTGTGTTACCTCCTATGATTCTCACAAGCACTTGGTGAGGGAGGTAAGGATTCGTGTTCCCAGCTCTACAAACAATGAAACTACAGCTCAGTGATGTTAAGTAACTTGTTCAAGTTTATTAAGCTGGTAAGAAACGCAAGCTGGGATTCTGTCCCAACTCCATCCGACTCCAATGCTGATGCTCTTCCAACTTCTCTCCTTCCAGACAGGGCCTCAATATTAAAAGTAGGGCACATCCTAGAAATCACCACTTCTCAGCGCATTCAAAAGCACATAGTGGCATAACATCTGGCCAGTCCCTTGGTCACTGACAGGTAGAGGCCCCTTCTGAGGATACTCTGAAATACTTTTAAATTTAAGTTGCTTTGGAATCTAAAGCAAGCCTGGGCCCAAAAGATAAGAGCCATCAATCTTTTACATCTGGTAGTGATCTCCCTACCGCACACAGAAGAAAGGCAAGATACTTGCCTGGCAGAGGCAAAATTAAAATTTCAAGGTGAGAATCGGTCAGTGATAAAAGGATGCCTCACACAGGGTTGTTCAGCCAATAGCCAATCAAACTCTAGCCTCCCCTCCGCTTCAGTCTTAAATTAAATCTTACAGGAGTGGGTAGAGTCTGTAGGTACCGACCTGGTATGTCTTAAGGAGGACTGAAATGCTATTACTAATCAAAATGACTTCCCGCACTGGTCCTGCCAGGAAGCCTACGGTTCCCTCTTAATCACTTCTTTCGGGTTAAGGCATCTGTCAAAATATAAGTGCTATCTTCAGTCACTATACATTATCCTCATTAGTTTATCATTTTCATTCTAATCACCAGACAGGTAGGAGACACAGGGCAAATGGTTTTGAAGGGGAAGGGAGAGGGAAAGATTCAATATGACATTTGATGGGCAGCTAGAGTCCAGCAGGGCCAGATCAAGATATTTAGAAACCCAAAGCACCGAAGAGATCATGTTATAAACCCCACACACCCATATAGAATTTAAGATAAAAATAATACCAACCTGTAAAATAAGTATAAGGTGGCTCAACAAAAATCTGATCTTTCCCATAATTACTACCGTAATTCTTTTTTTATTGCCATATAATTCAATCTTGAAGAGTATACAATTCAGGAATGCATGGGTGGCTCAGTCGGTTAAGTGTCTGCCTTGGGCTCAGGTCATAATCTTGGGGTTCTGGGATCGAGCCCCACATCAGGTTTCCTACTTAGCAGGGGTCCGCTTCTCCCTCTCCCTCTGTGCTTGCTCTCTCTCAAGTAAATAAATTTGGAAAAAAAAGAGTATACAATTTAATGACTCCTAGTATATTCAGAGTTGGGCAATCATCACCACAAGCAATTTTATTTATTTATTTTTTTTTTCTTTTTCTTTTTTTTATTCTTATGTTAATCCCCATACATTACATCATTAGTTTTAGATGAAGTGTTCCATGATTCATTGTTTGTGCATAACACCCAGTGCTCCATGCAGAATGTGCCCTCCTCAATACCCACCACCAGGCTAACCCATCCTCCCACCCCCCTCCCCTCTAGAACCCTGTTTGTTTTTCAGAGTCCATCGTCTCTCATGGTTCGTCTACCCATCCGATTTCCCCTGCTTCATTCTTCCCCTCCCGCTACCTTCTTCACCACAAGCAATTTTAAAACACTTTCATCACTCTCCCTCTGCCAAAACCCCCATTTCAGTCACTCCCACCCCCCTCCCAGCCCTAGGCAACCACCAGTCTACTTCCTGTCTCTGTAGATTTTCCTATTCTGTACATTTTACATAAGTGGAATCACATACAATATGTTTTTGTGTCTGCCTTCTTTGACTTGGCATAATGTTACCAAGGTTCTCCCATGTTGTAGCATATATCAGTAC